CCCGCCTTTTAGAAGATATACAGATAACGAAAGATGTTTATATTTTAATTTCCTTCTGATTTGACAAAAGCGAGAGAGAGTGTAATTTTGATATGAGTGCATATATGCAATGAATTTAATTAACATTTAGGTGGACACAAACATGACCTCCACGCTAAGTTTCAAAACTCTAATTTTATGTCTGCATTAGGAGTAATGTTATGTAATAAATGTAAATAATGTAATAAACAAAGGACTCTCATGTTTGCTTTTATAATGGACTCTCAGTTTTGCAAAATGCAAAATTAAACCACCAAAAGACTTTTTTAGAGGTGAACCTTTTTTTCACATGCATCAAATTATCAGTAATAATCAAAACTCGTTTTCTGAGCATCCACATTTAGCCTAAAGAAAGTCTCGGATCTTTTCTGAGAATGTCAGAAACAACCACAACCATTGGTGACTTAAACCGAGTAGTTGACCTTGTTTCTCAGAAACACAAAAAGCTATTTAGATCTATAAGTTAAGATATCTTTGTGACCCTTCTCAAAGTTTCAAATAGAGTTTGCTTATTTTAGACCATCTCAGGACACATACTAATCCTTGTGTCTTTGTTTGGATTAGAGATGGATAAATACCCGTGTGGGACACTGTTGGCTTATGGCAGTGGTCCAGTTGTAGTTCTTGTGCCATTATCAAGTGCCTATTCTCATACCAAATGATCTTGTGACTGTATTGAATCAACAGCGACAGAATTACACCCCTGTCCTCTGCTGTCCCTGTAAGTGGCAGGCATGTGTGTTCAATAGGACATAATAGAACAGAGAAGGCGCAGGCAATTGGTTTGAATCAGAAGTTAACTCAATTTGTATTAATTTCATTTATGTAAATAAAAATAAAGGTACAATTATATACACTATCAGTCAAAAGGACACTCTTATTGTCATAGGTATTTATCTGGCAAAATTATTTGGCATAAAAGGCAAACTACGCTAAGTTTTATTTTACTATATGCAAAAAAAATGCTCAAGGGAATTTTATTTACATGCATTTGGCATGTAAATAAAATGGTTGGGTAAAACTTTAGTTTAGTGTCCAATTGAGATTGGCTTGTTATTAGTATCAATAAAAGCACATAATGCCTTATTCTGCATGACCATATTCTACATCCCTAATCCTACCCAATATCTAAACATAACTTACTATCTATTAATAAGCAGCAGTAATTAGGCGTTTATTGAGGTTGTAGTTAATAGTATAGTGAGAATTGGACCCTAATCTAAAGTGTGCCGAAGCTCAAATGATATACATAATACGCTCACACAACCTTTAACAAATTTTTTTAGGCTAAGATTTCCTAGGCTGGGTATCATTTTTGGCCACTAGAGCAAAACATTTTCTTTAAAAAAAAATAATTCATGATAAACAAATTAAATTTGGTGTGTTCTGAAGTGGAAAATCACATTTTAATTTCCCTCTGTATCAATGTTCTCAACGTTACGCATCAGTTCCCAAGAATAGAGAACAGCTGGTGCCATTATAATCTATGTGTAAATGAGCTTTTCTTACCTCCAAACAAACTTTTAACTTTCTCAGGTTCTTTCTCAAGTAAGTATTTAATTATAGAACGGGATAATTCAATAGCTGTGCATAATTGTGGTTATGTGGCTGAGGTGTATAGCTTGATTATTACTTGAACAGCAGGATCTCTCAGCTCTGTATAAGAAGCACATGTTGGTCAGGCCCGCATGTTTATATAAAGATCAGTTATGTGCAGAACCATCCCAGTCTTCTGTCCCCTCCTCTGGACACATAGCATTAGGGAACAGCTGCCATTTTCACTCTCAAACAGAAACAGAAAATACACACACACACACACACCCATCCCCCGATTTTCGAAACTGCTTGTCCTATGTAGGGTAGTGGGGTGTCAGGACATGGGCAGGGAAACACTCGTGATGGCCAGTCAATCGTAGGCACACAGACATGCATAAACTAATATTATTTTGCCTGATTTTTGCAGTGTATTTAAAAAACAACTAGAGCAGTATAACATGAGTAACGTTAAGGGGTTGTGGGACTAAATAAGATTGGGAAACATTGGGAAGCACCTGCTAGCGCCAGGTTATGTGTGCCTGTCTTGTGTTACAGGTTATTTAGCCCATTAGAAATTACCCACTCGCTGGTCTACAGATCTCTTGCACTCTTACGACAGAGAGATACCAGACACCGCTGCCAAATGAGGAACGAGAACCATGCAGATTGAGAGAGGACACAAGGCCTACTAACCTGATGATCTTTTTTTAGTCTCAGAGATAACAACACAGTTGATATAGTGAGGTTGATGCTAGCCAATGCAGAAGACATTATGCATGTAATATGCATGTCATGATATGTCTTGTAATATCATTGAAAGAGTTTGAAAATTTTCAAGCGGACCACAGATACATAAATTCTAAATAAATAGTCTATTTAAAAGTATGAAAAAGTATACCTGTTTTTCACTGTGTTACATGGTATAAATTAATGTTAATTTTATCAGCTATTTAAAAAAAAAAAAAAACTTGCTGATAATTTACTCACCCGATAATTTACTTTATCATCCAAGATGTCCATGTCTTTCTTTCTTCAGACGAAAAGAAATTAAGGTTTTTGATTAAAACATTCCAGGATTTTCTCCATATAATGGACTTCAATGGGAACCAAACGGTTCAAGGTCCAAATGAGAGTTTCAGTTTAAACGTCACCAGATGATGAATAAGGGTCTTATCAAGCGAAATGATCGGTCATTTAAAAAATAAATAAGAAAGTTTAAGTTTTATAAGTACAAATGCTCGCCTTGCTCTGTTCTGTGATGAGTGTTCAAACTCGTTCATCAAAATGAACAAATCTTTTTTCGAGTCATGACTCGAAGGGTCCTTGATAAGACCCTTATTCATACTCTGGTGTCGTTTAAAGCCCTTTGAAGCTGCACTGAAACTCTCATATGGACCTTGAACTGTTTGGTTCCCAATGAAGTCCATTATATGGAGAAAATCCTGGAATGTTTTCATCAAAAACCTTAATTTCTTTTCGACTGAAGAAAGAAAGACATGGACATCTTAGATGACATGGGGGTGAGTAAATTATCAGCAAAAGTTTTTTTTTAAAGTGAACTACTCCTTTAAATTAAGTCTTAGTCCGGTTTCAAATATACTTTGTAGTTTTTATCACTTTTAGTCAGCTTGTTCTGTTTTTGTTTAGTCAAGTTTTAGTCGACTAGTTTCACAGACAAGGCTTAAAGCTAAAATATGTAATTAGCATAGGTTGATGATGCAGGGAATAAGCGGAATTATGAAACTTGTCATCATGCCGATGGATCTAATAATGTTTATGGATAAGTGAATACATTCATGTTTTTAACATGACTGTGGTATGAAGCAGGGCTCGATTGCTAATGAGAGACGTATACCAGCGCCACACACGAGTCACACGGATATATTGGAATAAGGATATTTCATTCTACCGAACTACACGCAAGTGCTGAATTACTATTCATATGGGTCGGTTTATTTGATGAATTAAACTTGTGAGGTAACGTAGCGCTGTTTCACTTGGTCTACACTATCACACTAAACTGCATTTGAGTGTGGTGAAAGTTATAATGCTAGTTAGTTAGTTTGTTGGCTGTATGAGACTAGCAGTAAGCGAGATCAACATTAGAATACATACGGATCATTTTCTATATATATCATGTTGAGCTATATAACATTGATTAGTTTTATGTACATTTGCTCACCTGTCTAATTAAGTACATGCAAGAGCGGCATCCTTATCAAGTCGTGACTCGTGAAACACTGTCAAGTCGAAGTAAGTCGGCATCTCGAGAACGCCACGCCGATATTGATCCTCATTTTATTTCTCCTTTTGTCTCAAAGTCTGCTTGCCACAGTCCATAATGTTTGAACTAAACAACAACAGCGTGAGCTAGACGTAACGCAGTTGCCCACGTCTGTCACCATGGTTACTATGGCAGTACAAGCGGAAACCAGGGATTACGCGGATATTACGTCATTGACAGGCTACAAGTTAAAAGAGACGGGCACTATTTAAAATTGTGAATTTCTCTGAATTTACAAATTCTTTGAAATATTTAGGATAATGTAAGCACACATTTGAAAGAAATATATAACACTGTGCACATGGTTTTTGGATATTTTGATAAAAAAAGTCTTACATATTGTACCTTTAAGCTAGTCTCAGACTAAAATGCATGTTTGAGCTGTTTTAACTCAAAGCAACTTGCACTGACAAATCTTAAAATATGTCATTGTCATTGATTTGTCTCAAGATGGGTGATGCATGGTTATAAAAGCCTCTAATTGAACTAAGGCCTAATTCTGGCTTAATCTAAGCCCTGTAGAGTATGTGAAAACGGGCCGTAGTGTCTGTGAATTTTTGTCTAGTTTGTCAATGAAAAAGTAGTCACATTTTCATCATGCGGCATAATGGTTCAATTGACAATCACAATTATTTTTCTCAAAATTATAATCAAGATTGTCATCTGAGAATATTTTACATTACAATAATTCCAAATGACAGTAATGTTTTTCTATTAAAACAAGAGCAAAAAGACTGCGTATTGTCACACAGAGTGTTTATTGAGCAACCACAATCTAGTCGAGAGATGTTTGGATTTACTACAGTTCAGCTCTAATTGGAGGATTTAAAATCTTGACTTGAAACCTCGTAAGAGCGGCTTGTTAAAAACAGTCTGTAATATTATAACTTCAATTAATATTTTTCGTCAATGATATTGCATGTTGATATGTTCAAAGTTATCAGTTAATGACGTTGGTGTTGTTGTCTTGTCATAGTCATGGAAAAAAAGGTAATTAACAAACATTTTTCGTCATAGATATTGTCAATGAAATTAACACTAGTGTAAATCAGCCGAAATGCATTATTAAAACTATAATAAAGTTATTACAAACAAGTGATTTTGATTGACAGCTGCTGACATAAACCTGCTCTAATTTCAGACTCTGACAGAGAGGACAGTCATGGGAATCCAGAAACCAGAGATTCTCCCGTAGGTAGCCACTAGCCAAACCATCACCACTTTAAAGTGAAAAAAGGTGGCTGTTTTATTTTATTGATCTTATCTCTGCCTTGTTTGCCACTTTACAATTAGGTAAAGAACAAAAGACGCTCTCCCCCCTCAGATAGACCTCCTTTTGGCCCTCATCTAAGTACACACCACAGCATCTCAGCAGATGAACAGGACAGCCCAGAGCGAATTGTGAGTATTACAAATATCATATGCCAAGCTCTATGTGAGCCAGCCATGTGGAGATATGAATTTCCTCTCTCGATCTTAATTTCTCTCCATATTCATTTCCCAGGTTCAGAAGGAAAAACTCCATGCAGAACTAAAGCAAGTTTTGAGTCGGAAGAGAAGCCAGCTTAGAGACACCCAATCCACCCCTAGAGACATGGAGGAACCCCCCAACACAGACAATAAGAATGGGGTAAGAAAAAATACATTGTTGTGGAATACAATATGAAATTCTTAAGCCCATTTGAAAATATGAAAGTATACCACTCAAAGCATAGTTAGTGTAATGCGAGACTAACAGCTTTTAGAAACCCTTACTGTGCGTTCACACTGGACCCGAATAGCGCGTCAAATTCGCGTCTACTGCGTCTAGTTTGACGCTTGACCACTTTGTGTTAATTTGCGCGTCAATAGTTAAACTGACACGTGTAAAAACAAAAGTTTGAAGCGAAATCTACACGCGTCAGAATCAAAATCCATTGGCGGCCATTTTTTTATGTCGACCGAGCATTCATCGAGAGAGTCACCGCTCTGTATTTGCACTGGAGAGTAGAACAGCGGCGTGTTTGGCTAGTTTCACCATTTGCTCTCTCCAGAAGCTGCGCCTGGATGATGGCCGCGGTCAGCGGTATTTCCGACGCTCAATTCGCACCAGACGCTCAATTCACGCCAGACGTTCAATTCGCGCCAGACGCTCAATTCGCTCCAGACGCTCAACTCGCACCAGACGCTCAATTCGCACCGTTTGTGCGAATGAGGTGTATTCGCGTCTACCACGCGGTAGCGCAATTCGCGCCAGAGACGCTCAATTCGCGCCAGAGACGCTCAATTCGCGCCAGACGCTCAATTCGCGCCAGACACTCAATTCGCACCAGACGCTCAATTCGCGCCACAGACGCTCAATTCGCGCCAGACGCTCAATTCGCACCAGACGCTCAATTCGCGCCAGACGCTCAATTCGCAAGTCAATTTCGCGCGAACGGTGCAAATTGAGCGTCTGTCAATTCGCACCGTTCGCGCGAAATTGACTTGCGAATGAGGCGTATTCGCGTCTACCACGCGGTAGCGCTCTTCGCCTTATTCGTGCCGCAAGAATTTTTACGCGTGTAACGCGTCTTTGCATTGACTTAACATTGAAATCATTTGCGCCTGACGCGCTGTTCACGTCCGGTGTGAACGCACAATTAGAAACCTGTTTTTGAAAAGAAATTTCTTGTTTGACCCTCACCCTTCATCATTTTTACTTTGTAAATGTTATGAGCAGGCGGAAAAGGATAACCAGTTGTCAGAGCTTGTGGAAGTGGTTGTTGAAACACAGGCTGAAGTTGGAGCTAGTGGGTACAGTGTGGTGGGTGGAGGGGAGCGTGGCATCTTTATCCAAGAGGTCCTGCGAGACTCCCCAGCAGCAAAACACCTCAGCCTACAGAAAGGTACTCAGGGACTGTATTTTACATTACAAAGTGCCATGTCAAATACACTATGAAGACGAGACTCATGGGAGAACCAACTTTAACCTCACAATCTTTAATGTGCAACATTTCCATGCTGAATACGTGTGTACTGAATTAATTTTGTTTCCTGATGTACTAAGAGAAATCATGGAAGGTATAAATAATTTTTGATGATGTGTTATTGCAGGAGATCAGCTGCTAAGTGCCAGGGTGTATTTTGATAACGTGAAATATGAGGACGCATTAAAAATTCTTCAGTGTGCAGAACCCTACAAAGTGTCCTTCTTTTTGAAGAGGACTGTGCCAGGAAGGGAAGTCAGCATTCGTCCAGGTGCACAAAGTCTTGAGCTCAGAGGACCCAAGGCCAAGATGCAAAGAATGGTACATGCTGAAATATTGCTATAAAATACATCCACGGTATTGCCCAAAGTGAATTAATGTTATTAAATCAAAGTAATTACACCAGTAGAAACTAGAAGGAATGATAACCTTTCTCTTGCAGAGCGTCAAAACCGCGAAACCGTTCAAATCCAAGAAAAGGAGAGGAGGAAGATTTGGATTGAAAAGGCTGAAAGAGAACAAAAAAGCAAAAGCACAGGCAGAGCTGGACACTGAGGGCTCACCAGCCAAATCAGACCTCAGTCCAGTTGATGTTGAGTTTGTATTCCCAAAGTTCAAGATGAGGAAAGGTGGGAGGACCACTGCAGATGTGTCAGGACACCTGGAGGGCATGATCCCAAGCAGCAAGAAGAAGAAGTCCAGATTTGGTGAAGGGAATGTCAATGTAGATTTTGCAACACGTGAGGGAGAGGCCTCTGGAACAAAAATGAAGGTCAAGGGGAAAGGTCCAAAATTTGGAATGAATTTCTCCAAACTGAAAAAGTCAAATTTAGATGTAGAGTCTTCAAATGACAGCTTTGAGGTGAAGGGCCTAGAGGCCAGAATTAAGCCTCCGTCGGTAGAGTGCGATTTGAACATGCCTCAGGGCAAAGCTGAAACTAATGTTCCTAATCTTGAGGTTAGTGTTAAAGGAAAAGGACAGGGTCCTGAGATAAAAATGCCAAAGATGAATTTAGATGTCTCAGAGACAAAGATGACAATCCCAAAGTTTAAACTGCCAAAGGTAAGACTTTCTTGTCATTCTGATGAAATTGATGGAGAGGCAAATAAACAAAATGACACATATGAAAGTAAACTGAAAACGCCCAAGATTGACATCAAAGCACCAAATGTGGATTTAGACTTGCATCTCTCAAAAACTAAGGGCATGGCTGAATTCAAAGATGGTGAAAAAATCAACACGGCCAAACTTGACACATCATTACCAAAGCTTAACCTTGATGCAAAACTTGGAGATGACATTGATGGATCCATGGTCAAAGAGCATGTGATTTCTCTCCCCCAACTTGACATTTTAGTGCCCAAGATAGAGACATCAGACGTGGACATGGGTCTTCCTACATTAGATGTGACATTACCAAAGATGGCTGCAAAAAACATTGATACTGAGAGACATGCAAGTGCTGGGGTGACATTTGAAATGACAAAATTAGACATCTCTCTACCAAAAATAACATCCCCTGAGGGTGAAGTGATAGTTGCAGAACCTGAAGCAAAAACTGGAAAATATCACCAGCCAAATATCATTATTTCATTACCAAAAGGTAAAGCAGAAGGAAAAGTGGAAGGTCAGAAAGGAGCTAAGGTCGACATTTCTTTACCAAAAGAAACATTAGAGGGGGGTGCCGATATTGAAGGCCAGTTTGGAAATGGGGGAAAGTTTAAAATGCCTAGCGTAGGTGTCTCCCTACCTAATGTAAAATTTTCTGAGCACGCCATTTCTGAGGGGCCTGAAATGAAAGCAGGAAAATTGAGTAAGCCATCCATTGAAATTTCACTTCCTGAAGGCAAAACAGAGGGAAACATTGAGGTTGGACAACCATCTGGGGAAGGAGGCAAATTCAAAATGCCACATCTAGATGCTTCACTTCCAAAAATGAAATTTACCACAGGTAAAATCAATACTGAGGATCCAGAGGTCAAAGGTGAGAAATTCCAAATGCCATCCGTTGATATATCATTACCAAAAGGAAACGTAAAGGCTGGTGTTGAGGTCGAGGGTCATTCTGGTAAAGCGGAAATGCCCAAAATTGATCTGAAAATGCCATTGCTAGAGGGCAAAATCATTTCCGAAAGTCATGAAGTAAGCATTTCTGGAGTTGATATTTCATTTCCAAAAGGAAAAACAAAAGATGTGCCAGATGTTGACATATCTCTTCCACAAGGAAAAGTAAAGGGAGATGTCATCGTCAAAAAGGGAGGAAAGTTTCAAATGCCCAAAATAGATCTTTCACTTCCAAGGATGAAATCCAAACCAGTACATGTCAATGTTAAAGGACCTGAGTCAAAAGGAAGCACAGTTCACACACCTTCCATTGATATTTCTTTGCCTAAAGTTAAAGCTGAGACAAACATTGATATTGAAGGTCATTCTGGAACAGATATAACGTTTGAAATGCCAAAAATTGATAACTCACAGCCAAAAGTGAAAGCTCCAGAAGGAAATATGAGAGCTGAAGCTCCTCAGATGCCAGGAGGAAAGTTAAATATGCCATCAATTGAAATGTCCTTTCCAAAAGGGAAGGAAAAAGGACACACTGACATTGACGGCAAAACGACAGGGGCAAGTAAAGGTGGAAAGTTTCACATGCCCTCTATAGATATCTCTCTGCCAGGAGGAGGATCAGGAGGAGATGTAGATGTTGAAGGACATGAGGAAAAAGGAGGTAAATTTGAAATGCCCAAATTCGATGTTCCTTTGCCTAAATTAAAACCATCAGGAGGTGAAATCAATGTTGAAGGTCCTGATATCAAAGGTGGAAAGTTTCACATGCCCTCTATAGATATCTCTCTGCCAAGAGGAGGAGCAGGAGGAGATGTAGATGTTGAAGGACATGCAGGAAAAGGAGGAAAATTTGAAATGCCTAAATTTGATGTGTCCTTGCCTAAATTAAAACCATCTGAGGGTGAAGTTAATATTGAAGGCCCTGATATCAAAGGTGGAAAGTTTCACATGCCCTCTATAGATATCTCTCTACCAAGAGGAGGAGCAGGAGGAGATGTAGAGGTTGAAGGACATGCAGGAAAAGGAGGAAAATTTGAAATGCCTAAATTTGATGTGTCCTTGCCTAAATTAAAACCATCAGGAGGTGAAATCAATGTTGAAGGTCCCGATATCAAGGGTGGAAAGTTTCACGTGCCCTCTATAGATATCTCTCTACCAAGAGGAGGAGCAGGAGGAGATGTAGAGGTTGAAGGACATGCAGGAAAAGGAGGAAACTTTGAAATGCCTAAATTTGATGTGTCCTTGCCTAAATTAAAACCATCAGGAGGTGAAATCAATGTTGAAGGTCCCGATATCAAAGGTGGAAAGTTTCACATGCCCTCTATAGATATCTCCCTACCAAGAGGAGGAGCAGGAGGAGATGTAGAGGTTGAAGGACATGCAGGAAAAGGAGGACAATTTGAAATGCCTAAATTTGATGTGTCCTTGCCTAAATTAAAACCATCAGGAGGTGAAATCAATGTTGAAGGTCCCGATATCAAAGGTGGAAAGTTTCACATGCCCTCTATAGATATCTCCCTACCAAGAGGAGGAGCAGGAGGAGATGTAGAGGTTGAAGGACATGCAGGAAAAGGAGGAAAATTTGAAATGCCTAAATTTGATGTGTCCTTGCCTAAATTAAAACCATCAGGAGGTGAAATCAATGTTGAAGGTCCCGATATCAAAGGTGGAAAGTTTCACATGCCCTCTATAGATATCTCTCTACCAAGAGGAGGAGCAGGAGGAGATGTAGAGGTTGAAGGACATGCAGGAAAAGGAGGAAAATTTGAAATGCCTAAATTTGATGTGTCCTTGCCTAAATTAAAACCATCAGGAGGTGAAATCAATGTTGAAGGTACCGATATCAAAGGTGGAAAGTTTCACATGCCCTCTATAGATATCTCTCTACCAAGAGGAGGAGCAGGAGGAGATGTAGAGGTTGAAGGACATGCAGGAAAAGGAGGAAAATTTGAAATGCCTAAATTTGATGTGTCCTTGCCTAAATTAAAACCATCAGGAGGTGAAATCAATGTTGAAGGTCCTGATATCAAAGGTGGAAAGTTTCACATGCCCTCTATAGATATCTCCCTACCAAGAGGAGGAGCGAGAGGAGATGTAGAGGTTGAAGGACATGCAGGAAAAGGAGGAAAATTTGAAATGCCTAAATTTGATGTGTCCTTGCCTAAATTAAAACCATCAGGAGGTGAAATCAATGTTGAAGGTCCCGATATCAAAGGTGGAAAGTTTCACATGCCCTCTATAGATATCTCCCTACCAAGAGGAGGAGCAGGAGGAGATGTAGAGGTTGAAGGACATGCAGGAAAAGGAGGAAAATTTGAAATGCCTAAATTTGATGTGTCCTTGCCTAAATTAAAACCATCTGAGGGTGAAGTTAATATTGAAGGCCCTGATATCAAAGGTGGAAAGTTTCACATGCCCTCTATAGATATCTCCCTACCAAGAGGAGGAGCAGGAGGAGATGTAGAGGTTGAAGGACATGCAGGAAAAGGAGGAAAATTTGAAATGCCTAAATTTGATGTGTCCTTGCCTAAATTAAAACCATCAGGAGGTGAAATCAATGTTGAAGGTCCCGATATCAAAGGTGGAAAGTTTCACATGCCCTCTATAGATATCTCCCTACCAAGAGGAGGAGCAGGAGGAGATGTAGAGGTTGAAGGACATGCAGGAAAAGGAGGAAAATTTGAAATGCCTAAATTTGATGTGTCCTTGCCTAAATTAAAACCATCAGGAGGTGAAATCAATGTTGAAGGTCCCGATATCAAAGGTGGAAAGTTTCACATGCCCTCTATAGATATCTCCATACCAAGAGGAGGAGCAGGAGGAGATGTAGAGGTTGAAGGACATGCAGGAAAAGGAGGAAAATTTGAAATGCCTAAATTTGATGTGTCCTTGCCTAAATTAAAACCATCAGGAGGTGAAATCAATGTTGAAGGTCCCGATATCAAAGGTGGAAAGTTTCACATGCCCTCTATAGATATCTCTCTACCAAGAGGAGGAGCAGGAGGAGATGTAGATGTTGAAGGACATGGAGGTAAAGGAGGAAAATTTGAAATGCCTAAATTTGATGTGTCCTTGCCTAAATTAAAACCATCAGGAGGTGAAATCAATGTTGAGGGTCCCGATATCAAAGGTGGAAAGTTTCACATGCCCTCTATAGATATCTCTCTACCAAAAGGAGGAGCAGGAGGAGACGTAGATGTTGAAGGACATACAGGAAAGGGAAGAAAATTTGAAATGCCTAAAGTTGATTTCTCCTTGCCTAAATTAAAAAAATCAGGAGGTGAAATCAATGTTGAAGGTCCTGATATCAAAGGTGGAAAGTTTAACATGCCCTCTATAGATATCTCTCTACCGGGAGGAGGAGCAGGAGGAGATGTAGATGTTGAAGGACATGGAGGAAAAGGAGGAAAATTTGAAATGCCTAAATTTGATGTGTCCTTGCCTAAATTAAAACCATCAGGAGGTGAAATCAATGTTGAAGGTACCGATATCAAAGGTGGAAAGTTTCACATGCCCTCTATAGATATCTCTCTACCAAGAGGAGGAGCAGGAGGAGATGTAGATGTTGAAGGACATGCAGGAAAAGGAGGAAAATTTGGAATGCCTAAATTTGATGTGTCCTTGCCTAAATTAAAACCATCAGGAGGTGAAATCAATATTGAGGGTTCCGATAGCAAAGGTGGAAAGTTTCATATGCCCTCTATAGATATCTCTCTGCCAAGAGGAGGAACAGGAGGAGATGTAGAGGTTGAAGGACATGCAGGAAAAGGAGGAAAATTTGAAATGCCTAAATTTGATGTGTCCTTGCCTAAATTAAAACCATCAGGAGGTGAAATCAATGTTGAAGGTCCCGATATCAAAGGTGGAAAGTTTCACATGCCCTCTGTAGATATCTCTCTGCCAAGAGGAGGAGCAGGAGGAGATGTAGATGTTGAAGGGCATGCAAGAAAGGGAAGAAAATTTGAAATGCCTAAAGTTGATTTCTCCTTGCCTAAATTAAAAAAATCAGGAGGTGAAATCAATGTTGAAGGTCCTGATATCAAAGGTGGAAAGTTTAACATGCCCTCTATAGATATCTCTCTACCAAGAGGAGGAGCAGGAGGAGATGTAGATGTGGAAGGACATGCAGGAAAAGGAGGAAAATTTGAAATGCCTAAATTTGATGTGTCCTTGCCTAAATTAAAACCATCAGGAGGTGAAATCAATGTCGAAGGTACTGATGTCAAAGGTGGAAAGTTTAACATGCCCTCTATAGATATCTCTCTACCGGGAGGAGGAGCAGGAGGAGATGTAGAGGTGGAAGGACATGCAGGAAAAGGAGGAAAATTTGAAATGCCTAAATTTGATGTGTCCTTGCCTAAATTAAAACCATCAGGAGGTGAAATCAATATTGAGGGTCCCGATATCAAAGGTGGAAAGTTTCACATGCCCTCTATAGAAATCTCCCTACCAAGAGGAGGAGCAGGAGGAGATGTAGAGGTTGAAGGACATGCAGGAAAAGGAGGGAAATTTGAAATGCCTAAATTTGATGTGTCCTTGCCTAAATTAAAACCATCAGGAGGTGAAATCAATGTTGAAGGTCCTGATGTCAAAGGTGGAAAGTTTAACATGCCCTCTATAGATATCTCCCTACCAAGAGGAGGAGCAGGAGGAGATGTAGAGGTTGAAGGACATGCAGGAAAAGGAGGAAAATTTGAAATGCCTAAATTTGATGTGTCCTTGCCTAAATTAAAACCATCAGGAGGTGAAATCAATGTTGAAGGTCCCGATATCAAAGGTGGAAAGTTTCACATGCCCTCTATAGATATCTCCCTACCAAGAGGAGGAGCAGGAGGAGATGTAGAGGTTGAAGGACATGCAGGAAAAGGAGGAAAATTTGAAATGCCTAAATTTGATGTGTCCTTGCCTAAATTAAAAAAATCAGGAGGTGAAATCAATGTTGAAGGTCCTGATGTCAAAGGTGGAAAGTTTCACATGCCCTCTATAGATATCTCCTACCAAGAGGAGGAACAGGAGGAGATGTAGAGGTTGAAGGACATGCAGGAAAAGGAGGAAAATTTGAAATGCCTAAATTTGATGTGTCCTTGCCTAAATTAAAACCATCAGGAGGTGAAATCAATGTTGAAGGTCCCGATATCAAAGGTGGAAAGTTTCACATGCCCTCTATAGATATCTCTCTACCAAGAGGAGGAGCAGGAGGAGATGTAGATGTTGAAGGACATGCAGGAAAAGGAGGAAAATTTGAAATGCCTAAATTTGATGTGTCCTTGCCTAAATTAAAACCATCAGGAGGTGAAATCAATGTTGAAGGTCCCGATATCAAAGGTGGAAAGTTTCACATGCCCTCTATAGATATCTCTCTACCAAGAGGAGGAGCAGGAGGAGATGTAGATGTTGAAGGACATGCAGGAAAAGGAGGAAAATTTGAAATGCCTAAATTTGATGTGTCCTTGCCTAAATTAAAACCATCAGGAAGTGAAATCAATGTTGAAGGTCCCAATATCAAAGGTGGAAAGATTCACATGCCCTCTATAGATATCTCCCTACCAAGAGGAGGAGCAGGAGGAGATGTAGAGATTGAAGGACATGCAGGAGGAAAATTTGAAATGCCTAAATTTGATGTGTCCTTGCCTAAATTAAAACCATCAGGAGGTGAAATCAATGTTGAAGGTCCTGATGTCAAAGGTGGAAAGTTTCACATGCCCTCTATAGATATCTCTCTACCAAGAGGAGGAGCAGGAGGAGATGTAGATGTTGAAGGACATGCAGGAAAAGGAGGAAAATTTGAAATGCCTAAATTTGATGTGTCCTTGCCTAAATTAAAACCATCAGGAGGTGAAATCAATGTTGAAGGTCCTGATATCAAAGGTGGAAAGTTTAACATGCCCTCTATAGATATCTCTCTACCAAGAGGAGGAGCAGGAGGAGATGTAGATGTTGAAGGACATGCAGGAAAAGGAGGAAAATTTGAAATGCCTAAATTTGATGTGTCCTTGCCTAAATTAAAACCATCAGGAGGTGAAATCAATGTTGAAGGTCCTGATATCAAAGGTGGAAAGTTTCACATGCCCTCTATAGATATCTCTCTACCAAGAGGAGGAGCAGGAGGAGATGTAGATGTTGAAGGACATGGAGGAAAAGGAGGAAAATTTGAAATGCCTAAATTTGATGTGTCCTTGCCTAAAATAAAACCATCAGGAGGTGAAATCAATGTTGAAGGTCCCGATATCAAGGGTGGAAATTTTAACATGCCCTCTATAGATATCTCTCTGCCAAGAGGAGGAGCAGGAGGAGATGTAGATGTTGAAGGACATGCAGGAAAAGGAGGAAAATTTGAAATGCCTAAATTTGATGTGTCCTTGCCTAAATTAAAAAAATCAGGAGGTGAAATCAATGTTGAAGGTCCTGATGTCAAAGGTGGAAAGTTTAACATGCCCTCTATAGATATCTCTCTACCAAGAGGAGGAGCAGGAGGAGATGTAGATGTGGAAGGACATGCAGGAAAAGGAGGAAAATTTGAAATGCCTAAATTTGATGTGTCCTTGCCTAAATTAAAACCATCAGGAGGTGAAATCAATGTTGAAGGTCCTGATATCAAAGGTGGAAAGTTTAACATGCCCTCTATAGATATCTCTCTACCAAGAGGAGGAGCAGGAGGAGATGTAGATGTTGAAGGACATGGAGGAAAAGGAGGAAAATTTGAAATGCCTAAATTTGATGTGTCCTTGCCTAAATTAAAACCATCAGGAGGTGAAATCAATGTTGAAGGTCCTGATATCAAAGGTGGAAAGTTTCACATGCCCTCTATAGATATCTCTCTACCAAGAGGAGGAGCAGGAGGAGATGTAGATGTTGAAGGACATGGAGGAAAAGGAGGAAAATTTGAAATGCCTAAATTTGATGTGTCCTTGCCTAAATTAAAACCATCAGGAGGTGAAATCAATGTTGAAGGTCCCGATATCAAAGGTGGAAAGTTTAACATGCCCTCTATAGATATCTCCCTACCAAGAGGAGGAGCAGGAGGAGATGTAGAGATTGAAGGACATGCAGGAGGAAAATTTGAAATGCCTAAATTTGATGTTTCTTTACCTAAATTAAAACCATCTGGAGGTGAAATCAATGTTGAAGGTCCTGATATCAAAGGTGGAAAGTTTCACATGCCCTCTATAGATATCTCTCTACCAAGAGGAGGAGCAGGAGGAGATGTAGATGTTGAAGGACATGGAGGAAAAGGAGGAAAATTTGAAATGCCTAAATTTGATGTGTCCTTGCCTAAATTAAAACCATCAGGAGGTGAAATCAATGTTGAAGGTCCCGATATCAAAGGTGGAAAGTTTAACATGCCCTCTATAGATTTCTCCCTACCAAGAGGAGGAGCAGGAGGAGATGTAAAGGTTGAAGGACATGCAGGAAAGGGAAGAAAATCTGACCTGCCTAAAGTTGATGTTTCCTTGCCTAAATTAAAACCATCAGGAGGTGAAATCAATGTTGAAGGTCCTGATGTCAAAGCTGGAAAGTTTCACATGCCCTCTATAGAAATCTCTCTGCCAGGAACCACAGATTCTAATGCTAAGACCAAAGCTTCCGGTGCCAAGATTAGTGACTTAAATGTACCTGAGGCTACTTTAAGTGGTAACATCAAGCTGCCAACTATGAAAATACCAACTGTCGACATATCTGCTCCAAAAGTTGACCTGGACTTTACTCTTCCAATGGTAAAGGACCATGATAGAGAGAATATTGAACTTCTCAAGGCAGAGAGTGGAAGACCGTCATCCGGGGCAAGTTTTGATATTCCAGACGTCTCTGTAAAAATGCCCAAAATTTCACTCCCTAAATTCGGCAGAAAATTTAAAAGTGGAGACAAACTAGAACTAGAGAGTCCTGGATTATCTATAGGCTTGGACATAGAAAAAACATTACCATCCGTGGAAACTGATGCCAAAATGAATAAGTCCAAAATCAAAATGTCATCCATTGGAACATCTAAAAAGGATATTGAAATAATTGGCCCTGAAGCTAAAATGAAGATAAACGCAGATGCTGGAGAAATTACAAAACCTAAAATTAGAGTGGAGGGTCCTGATGACAAGGTCAGATCCAGGCTCAAATTCCCCAAATTCAAGACACCTACTCCAAAAGCAAAGCTCAAAGAAGTAGAAATGGATATGCCTGCAGTGGAGAACAAAGGAAAGGTCAAAATGCCAGTAGTTGAGATATCATTGCCAACAGCAAATATTCCAGAATGTGAGGTATTGCTTCCAAAAACTGAGGTTGATGTATCTGAAGCAGATATCAGAGGTTATGAGGGCAGTTTAAAAATTCCTAAGATGCCAACTATTGGCATATCAGTTCCAAAAGTTGATTTAGATGTTTCTTTGCCAAGGGTAAACCTTCATAAACCAGAAGACTCAAAATCTTCTGACTTAAACATTGATAGTAATAGAGGTATGGTCAATTTACCTCATGTTAAAATCCCCAAAGTAGACCTTTCACTTCCACATGGAAAAACAGGAGACACAGGTACTCATGAGGTGGAGATTGGAAAGAGGGGTAAATTAAGAATGCCAGAAGTGGAAATATCATTACCTCATGTGAAAAATGAGACATCTAGCACTGATATTGAAATTAAAGGTGAAAAAATTGCAGTGCCTTATGTTGATATATCTGATTATCCTGATTCAGAATCTGGAGCTAAAGGAAGTAAATTACAAATGCCAGACATCACAGTGCCGAAGATAGATTTATCGCTACCTCGTGGAAGCAAAGGAGAAAGTCATGCACCAGATCCAGAACTAGAAGGTAGAAAATTAAAGATGCCAACAGTAGATATATCCTTTCCTAAAATAAAATCTAAAGACGTTGCTCCAGAACTTCACCCTGGTGAAGTAAAAGGTAAAGTCACGGTCCCTGGAATTAAACTACCAACAGTAGATATCTCATTACCTCATGGTAAAATAGAAGACATTGATACTCTTGAACTGGAAGCATGTGGCAAAGAAGGGAAATTCAAATCGCCTAATATCAAAATTCCAAAAGCAGATATATCATTACAAGGACAACAAGAGAATACAGAAAAAACAGAGGTCAGAAAACCAGGTGGAAACTTTGAATTACCAAAAATAGCAATGCCTAAAATGGATATATCATTACCTTATGGCAAAACGGGCGACACTGGGGCTTCAGGATCTGCGAAAGTAGAAGGTGGACAACACAAAATGCCGGATATTAAGATACCACAGGTAGACATATCATTACCAAGAGGTAAAACTGGAGAGTTTGATACTAAAGAAGTAGAATCTGGAGGAGGGGGTGGAAAATTCACTATTTCAAAAGTTAAAATCCCAAAAGTAGATATAGTAATGTCAAGTGATGCAGACGTGTCAGTTCCTTCTACTGATGCAGGACTTAAAGAGGGTAAAAAGGTGAGGATGCCAACTACAAATATAGAGGGACCTAATGTGGATCTAGAGTTGGATCTTGGCTTGCCGAAAAAAGGGAAAAAAAATAAAAAGAAGACTAAACTTCCAGAAATTGATCTAAGCCCCACTGCACCACAAGAAAAAGAAAAAACAAAAGGACCCAAAGTTAAAGGTTCAAAATTTAATATTGGAATGCCAAAAGTAAAAGTATCTGCAGTAGAAATTGACACAACCAAGCCTGGAAAAAAGGACGCCACATTTACAAAAGGAGGAACGGATGCAAACTTGACAGCTGATTTACCAGCACCAAAGATTCCCGAACTTGACTTTGACATTGAGACTGCCCAAGTTGACACTAATAACTCTGAAGAAGATAAAAAGCAGACGGGTAAAGTCAAAATCCCAAAGTTTGGGATACCTCTGCCATCTTTAAGTTCACCTGAAGTTAACATCCCATCATCTCGGGTAAAAGGTCACTCCATAAACGTAGACTCTGAGGTAGACTACGAGGGCCCACGTATGCCAAAAGTAACGAAAGCCGTATTTGTTATGGTGAATCCACAAACCGAGAGCGCTGCTAGTGTAGGTGGTGAAGCAAGTGCCGAAATTGGAGAAGAGAAGCTCAAGTTGGCAAAGAAAAAAATAAAGTCGAGTTTTGGCAAGTCTCAATCAAATGAAAAGGGGAATGCAGTAAATTTGGAGCAGGAGGTTGAAACCGAAGGAAGGTCAAAAACTGGTAAGCTTAAATTACCCAAAGTCACATTTTCATCTGGGCAGAGAGGATCATTTGATGTAACACCAAGCGGGTCTGATGATGGAACAAGCCTAAATGGTGACAAAGATGAAAAAGCAATGTTTGGAAAGCTTAAATTGCCCAAATTGGAGTTTTTTTCACCCTACTCAAAAGAGACGGTCCAGGAAGAGGAATTGGAAACAAGCGTGACGTGTCTCAAGAAGGAGACCTCGGGGGAAAGCAAAGAGAGCAAGGAGACAATGACAATATCAGGCACAGTGAGAGAGACTGATACTTTAGTTTATTCCAAGGCAAGGACTGAAATGCTAGCAGGACGGGAGGGATCAGAGTCCCCAAAAGCTACAGTATCATCTGCGTTCGTCTCCGTAAAGAAGAGCGAAGAAAGACAAGAAACAACATGTTTCAAAGTACCCAAGTTTACCCTTAGTCCCCATTCTACTGGCATCCTTCACATCACACCAGAAAGCTCTCCGAAAGGAAGCAAGTCCTCTCTTCATTGCTCTAGTGAGGAAGCCTCTGGAGGTTTCTATGTGAAGATGCCAAGCGTTGAATATTTGACCCATGAAATGTCCTCAGAGCATCTGATTACTAAAACAGAGGGAACTCTTACAGTTGTGACTAAGACAACAAAGTATACAGAAACAAAAAGCAGCAGTTCGAAACAGTAAGCATCTCAGTTACAGAACAAGATATAATATAATATATAGGCCATATAAATATTTTTATATGTGGCAATTATTTCAGTATAATTTATTATTTATATATTTTTTCTTGTTTGCTTAATAATAAGAAAAACACAACTTATGCATAATGAAAATGTTGCTACAAAACGAGTATTATTAAATCATGTTTTGTAACTTGCCACTCTGAATTGATACTTCTGTAAAGATTTTTCTCTGATTAATCACATTTTGTTGTAGATAAGAAACATACAACATAGACACAAATCTGTGCAAAACAGACATATTACTTTTATTTTAGTTTTTGCTTATGCTTTGTCCAGTCTTATCACAGTACGCCATTTAAACTGCAGAATTTTACAGCATTTTGGAAATATTGCTTTGCCTTTTTGATGCCTGGTTTGTCTATGTGGTTTTGTGGTTGTTGTTATGGAATTCTGTTTATTTTAGGTACTATTAGAAATACATGTACTATTTTTACATATTTATATGCATGATCTGTACAGATAGGACTCTAAAAAAGGAAGCTGTGATGTGAGTATTTTCGTGATACATATTTTTGTCATAAATTCAAACAATATACATTGAGATTTTCTAAGGATTGTGTTATGCTGTACCAGATTGCCTTTCTCTGTTTGAAAACGCTGAGTGTGAAAAAACAGCATTTCCTTTTTAAAATGAACTCTTGTGTTGATGGATTTTACATGCTAGGAATATGTATATGTATATTATATTTAAGGCATGTTTGTAATGTGTTGCTTTTCTGAAACAGTCATTTAGATGATGCCTATCCCCATCTAATGCAAAAATAGAATACTCAAATAAAATATTAAAATTTTAATTAGTTTTACCTAATTATTTCCTGATCTTTTTTATTTTTAATTTTCACATAATTAACTGACATGGCAAGCAAAATTACAGCCAATACAAACAGCTGGCATAACGTTAAGCGTTCCTCAAGATTGCAATATTATTTCCATGTGTCCAGTGTTAATGTATGTTTTATGAAACTCATAGCCTACTACTTACTCTCTCCCATGAAAACGCAAAAGCAGACATTTTGAAGAATGTATTGTTTGTTTTGTTCATGCAATTACTTTGAAGGAAACTGTTTTTAAGTTCTACAACTAAACGCCATAAATGTCCCATGAAAAATAGCCCATTCGACGTCTGTGTTATAGGCCCTAAGTCTTGTGAAAAATTAAGATGATTTATATTTTTATTAGGACTAGGCAACGATTAATCGTCATTAATCGCATCCAAAATAAAAGTTTGCGTTTACGTGTATGTACTGTGTATAATTATTTTGTATATAAAATCACACATGTGCATGTATATATTTAAGACAAATGTGTTATTGATAAATAAAATATTTATATTTATATGTAATATAAATATATATACAAATATTTCTTAAATACATGCATGTGTGTATTTATATGTGCCAAATAATTATACACACTACACACACATATTTATGTAAACACAAACTTTTATTTTGGATGCAATTAATCGTTGACCAGCCCTAATTTTTATGTTCCAGGACTACTTGCACAACTACTTCTGCGTTACTCCGGTTAGAGTGTTCATCGTACATCCATACATGAGAATGCAGATTGATAAAAAAATAAAAATAATGATCTCTGTATTAATTATCTTGAGCCTGCTATAATGTTCCTATAAATATATTTTCTTTACAACTGTTCCATTCTGAATAATAAATAGGCTAAATATTATAATAACTGGTAGTTATCAAATAGGAATAAATAGGTCTAACCTGAGCTAAACTACGCTAACAACGCTTATGCTAATTCCTAACATAAGATCAGAACACTCATGTCCCATACACAGCACGACCCACAATGTTCCCACAGGTGGAGAATTAGTTGAATCAACAAAAAGGAAACAGTAGCAATAACTTTTCCTCTTTTAAAAAGGGCCTTACACTCTCTCCATGACGGTGAGAGACACATTTTTACATTAGGCAGTAAATGAACCAAGAACATCTGATCTAACTTGAACATTAACACACATAACTTTACTATCACAAAAACTTAAAGTTCTTACTGCAATAACACATAAATCAACTCTCAATAAAAAATACCCATAATGCACCCAGCTGCTAGCGCTGACTGCCAGGTCATTACAACATATTTATCCACTAATCTGCTTTTGTCTTCTCATTAACAACATTATTTTTGTCTTTGCCTACTTATATTTTATACTTGAGTTTACTTCTTTTTTTTTATGAATTTGACTGATAAAAAGTGTGCATTGGTGCTTTATTCCTGTCTTTTTAAAATAGTTGAATGAATGAATAAATGAATGATTGTGAGGTGCGATAGATCAGAACGCCTGCAGCATAGAGGAGAATGAGTCAACTTCTCTAAAAATTAATTAAGCACTTTGGTCATGAACATGTAAATAGTAAAACGATTGACATTGAAAAATGACACTGAATGATTAACGTTACAATATTTAATCCAAATAAATGTTCGTGTTTCGTACTGATGTTATTCATCTGTTCTCACCAACGTAGACGAACACTGACACTGACTGTGGTGAAATAATGGCGTTTTTTTTGGCTTGGTTTGGATTTAAACTTCATGTTCCGATGAGTTTTGAAAATTCTGCACACACAGTAAACATCAGAAAATCCCTTCTTCTGTCAATACATTTTCCAAAATATAAAACTTTATTACAGACACTCATTTTAGGTGGTGTTTGTTCAACTCATTGACGATTGACCGCAGTACTTTGGAAGTAAACATAACCGGAAGTAAGTGCTATGTATTGTTTCCAAACGGAAGTGCGTCGCGAAGCTCAGTGCAAGTAGTCCATTGGTCAGCTGGTATCACGCACTAGATTGCGGAGGCTCTGCGTTGCTTTAATGCCAGTGAACGCACAACGCAGCCTGCGCTATGAGGAGACACGGAGGTGTAGCGTGACGCTCACTTTAACGGAGCACATGAAACATACATGGGATTAATAGCTTACGCTACAAATCTACGATGCTCTGTATTCGGATATGCTGTCTTAAAACGACGCGGTGACATGGATATCATCATTTCTAAACAGTCCATAATCCTCATGAAGGTTAAAGCCCAAATCCTTCAGCCCAGCAGCATCTTCATAACCTACGACAGCTGGAATTGTGTGATTCGTGACATCTCATCAGCACGAGGGAAGTGACTGGCACGGTGTAAAGGTAAGATGAAACAAAGAAACAAAATATTGGTTGTTTATGATTTTTTAAAAGATTAATATAGCATAACAAACCACAAAAAGAATCGATCCACATAATCCCCCCTCCCCGAGGGTACATGTGTGTGGGCAAGTATTAGTTAATGACAGACTCCCGATTTGGTGCAAGTGATGCGATCACGTATTGTGTGTGAAGACTACGTAACGCAGCGTCCTCTGATCACCGTGACATAGTTTGGGACATGCGAAATAAAATGTAAGAAAAATGTAGGCTACACGACAGTAACAGTAGCCTATACAATATAAGATTAAAGTATTAAATGTAATAATAAGAAAACAATCAAATAAAACAGTCTGTATAAAATACAATAATACAATTATAATTACACACAATGTATGCATATATAGGCCTATATACAATATGTTGTATGTATATATGTGTGTGTGTACACACTCACATACACACATATATAAATTTAATAATATATACACATATTATATAAACACAAACTTATGTTAGATGCAATTAATCATGTTTAATCGATTTGACCGCACTAATATATAATAAAATTTAAACAGAATGAAGAAAGAACCATCTTTTCGTGGTTTGATATGACAATATCTTTTATAATAGTTGTAAGTATAAAAATAAAAACATTATACATATTGTATATGTATTTTATAGAATATTGCAATATTATACAATTATAGTGTGTATGTAACTAAAACACAATAAACTATAATTGTAGTATATGCAATAACAGACTAATAATTAAAATACATATTACAGTTATAATGAATGCAAGAAAATGATATGATATATTACAATATATATATACATACATACTCGGACAGTGAGGACTGAACAAATGCACTGTAATAACATAATATTTTGAGTTTTTTTGGTGATTAAATGAATCTCTTTCATTGTATTAACTCAATTTTTCCATTTCAATGAACTTAAAATTTTAAGGCAACCATTTTTTTAAAGTTAAACCAACAATATTTTTGACAGTGTGATGTGAACACAAGGCAAATTAATTTCAAGTTAAAAACTCATAGCCTAGTAAATAAATTAACTTTTACATTTTATATGAAGACAATTTGCCGTGAACTAAATTGATATTTGAGCCGGTACTTGTTTTTGTACTGACCTTTAATTATCAGATATCAAACTTACATAAATATATATGCCATTTGCATTCATGGCTGAATAACAAAATATGTGCTGTAAGATTTTGACATCCTAAATGCAATTTTTACCCACCACAGCATCTGATATTATTGCCCCAAGAAGAATGCTGCAACAGAACAACAACAATAACTGCTTGGAAATGGCCCATCGGGAGCTACTGAATGAACGCCGAAGAACCAATGTCTCATTGAGCAGTGCCCTTGAGTTTGGAGCCATACCCCTGATTAAAGGCCTGAGAGCGTGGGCTGTGAGTGGGGGTTACTCTAAAGCCAGGAGAAAGGCTGCTAATGGATCTCGGGCACAGAGCACATGCCAACCGCCTCCTGAAGACAGGGTGGGGCAGAGAAGCTGGTCAGGACAGGTTAGCAGTGGCTATGGGCACACATCGGATGGTACGAATAGTGCGGCGAGAACTTCAGGGGTCAGGCAAGGCGCCAGCGGTCTTGGTGCTCTTGTAACTGTGGCCACTTTGAAAGGCACTGAGGGGGGTGGCAGGCAGACTCAGACTCGCTGCCTCTTTCTCAAGGCCCAGGGACGAGGCAGCTACATCTGTGCTGTTGGAAACCGAGGGGCTGGAGCGAGAGTCACAGGTCCACGGACTCACACGGTCATCCTCGAGGGGTCGAAAGAAGAGCTTATATGTTCCTCTAGGGGGCAGAGGGTGAGCCAGGATGGGACAGACGAGGGAGGATTATTCAAGGCCAAGCCCCGGGCCATAAGAAAATGGAGGAAGTGCAGTAAAACAACAGGCTCAGCGGAGAGAAGAACAACAGCTCACGGCAGAAAGGAAATCGCCAATCAGCACTGTGAGCCGGAACATGGCGACCAAACAAATGCAGTCATTACAGACGTAGCAGCAGGTACAACAATAACACAATGCCAGAAAGGGACCAGTGCTAGCTATCCAAGTCAGGAAGAAATCAATGAGTTGGCTCATTCCCCCGTATCGGCGAAAACTGCTGCGCCCGAGAGCATGGACCCACAAACCTGCTGCTCTTCTGACAAAACATGTGCCAAGCAAGGTGAGCAGGTCAAAGCTGACATGAGTATTAATCAATCCGATAACTGTTCTGAAGTAGACGAAGGATTCAGTCGTGCCAATGGCGATGCGCAAGGAGACACTAAGCTTGACTCGAATAACTCAAACCTAGGATCACCTGAATTGGAAATAAAATCAACCACAACAAACTGTAGTAGTGAGCCAAGCATAGATCAAACTCCCTCTGAAGTCCCTGTCAGCATTGAGAAGAATCAAGAATCCAGGCCGGATGAGCGCCTAATGGACCGTGAGAATCTACATTCGGTGGAGGATCGCAATCTCACAACTCGGAGGGACGGACCTCCGGAAACAAAGAGTACAGTCATGCTGGAGGGCCGCGCTCCAGTGGGTGTTGAATGTAGCACTACGAAGAAGAAGAAGTGGAGGTGTTCACCTCAGCATTGGGAGGAATTAATCACGGAGAATGGGGAACTTGAAGTTCAGCAGTCTGACAAATCCTCTTCACGAGGCTTTAGCACACCAACAACCAATATAACTGTAACCACTATTCACTCCCAGCCTAATCCTGCCCCTACCACCACTGCAGCCATAGCAACAGCCATCCCAGCATTAAGCAATGGGGAGGTGGGGGCTAGAGGTGGAGACTCGCTGCCTCTGGAGAACTCAGAGTTGATATCAGAGCTGGCAAGAGTTGACGACGGGGACAAGGTGGCCACTGACGAGGGGTCTCTCGATGTGGGCGAGGAGGATGAGGATGAGTTCGGGGCGTTCATGCAGGCAGGTGGGATGGACGGGTTCAGTGACGTCCAACAGTTGGCTGCGAGAGAGGATTACAACTGTGGTGAGTCAACTTTCTTGAAAGTAGCGGGGTAATGAATACATTAAAGGAGTAGTTCACTTTTAAAAAAAAACTTTTGCTGATAATTTACTCACCCCCGTGTCATCCAAGATGTCCATGTCTTTATTTCTTCAGTCGAAAGGAAATTAAGGTTTTTGATGAAAACATTCCAGGATTTTTCTCCATATAATGGACTTCAATGGGAACCAAACGGTTCAAGGTCCAAAAGACAGTTTCAGTGCAAACTGCAAACTGTTCAAAGGGCTTTAAACGATTCCAGACGATGAATAAGGGTCTTATCAAGCAAAACGATCGCTCGTTTAAAGAAAAATAACAAAGGTTAAGTTTTATAAGCTCAAATGGTTGCTTTGCTCTGTTCTGCGATGCACGTTCTTCGTTCAAAATGAACGAATCTTTTCAATTCAATTCAAGTCAATTCGTTCATTTCGTTTGTTGAATGAACCAAATGAGACGAAAAAAGGTTTGTTCATTTTGATGAACGAGTTCGAACCACAAACGCACATCACAGAACAGAGCAAGGCGAGCATTTGAGCTTATAAAACTTAAATTTTGTTGTTGTTTTTTTTAAATGAGCGATCGTTTCACTTGATAAGACCCTTATTCATCGTCTGGAATCGTGTAAAGCCCTTTGAACAGTTTGCAGTTTGCACTGAAACTGTCTTTTGGACCTTGAACTGTTTGGTTCCCATTGAAGTCCATTATATGGAGAAAAATCCTGGAATGTTTTCATCAAAAACCTTAATTTCTTTTCGACTTAAGAAAGAAAGACATGGACATCTTGGATGACATGGGGGTGAGTAAATTATCAGCAAAAGTTTTTTTTACAGATCACAAGTGAACTACTCCTTTAAGTCACTTAAGACTGAAGGGACAGTCAGATCTCTTCTAGATCAGGAACCTGGCTTTGTTTGGGTTTGTGTGAGCAGATAAACATGCGGTTCCAGTGCTCCAGTACTAAATAGTCTGTCTGGATTGACCTGGATTCCTGCAGACCCCCTCGCTTCCTCCGACCTCATGTGAAGATATTAATTATTTAAAGCAATGCTTGGAATTCCTACCCTCTCATCCCTTCACTGCCCCTGTTGCTGTGTACCAGCCTAAGGCGGGAGGCAAGGCCAATGGGACAAGAGGAGAGGCCAACCTCCATAATGCCAAAGGCAGTGTGTCTAGAGGGAATGGCTTGATCAAAATAGAGGACAAACACAGCGTTATTTATTCATATAGTACGTCTCCTGCCCATAATTTTTGGTCAAAACCAAATACTTTTCCCCTTAATAATCTTACGGGCTTGCCACTGTGTAATCATAATCCGCAGGATTAATCCTGTTCTCTAAAAAGGTGAAAACCAGGTGATTCAGGTACTGTAACATAAACAGGTTTAACCTACTTTTAATTTTTTAGGTCATGCAAGTAAATCTTTTTATATGACATATAAGTTATTTGTGGACCATATCTTTCCAGTTCAGGCAAAATGATATGACTACTTCGCGATACTTTCAAGTCAGTGCCGCTAAAAGGTTAAAGGAGTAGTTCTCTTTTGAAAAAACTTTTGCTGATAATTTACTCACCCCCATGTCCTCCAAGGTGTCCATGTCTTTCTTTCTTCAGTCGAAAAGAAATTAAGGTTTTTGATGAAAACATTCCAGGATTTTTCTCCATATAATGGACTTCAATGGGAACCAAACTGTTCAAGGTCCAAAAGACACTTTCAGTACAAACTGCAAATTTTCGAAGGGCTTTAAATGATTCCAGATGATGAATAAGGGTCTTAACAAGGAAATGATCGCTAATTAAAAAAAAAATAAATAAATTTTAAGTTTTATAAGCACAAATGTTCGCCTTGCTCTGTTCTGTGACGCGCGTTTGTGACTCTCCTGTTCAAACTCGTTCATCAAAATGAACGAATCTTTTCCCGAGTCAATTCGTTCATTTCGTTCGTTGAATGAACCAAATGACACGAAAAAAGGTTTGTTCATTTTGATGTACGAGTTTGAACAGGAGAGTCACGAACGTGCATCACCGAACAGAGCAAGGCGAGCATTTGAGCTTATAAAACTTAAACTTTGTTTTTTTTTTTTTTAAATGAGCGATCGTTTGGCTTGATAAGACCCTTATTCATCATCTGAAATCGTTTAAAGCCCTTTGAACAGTTTGCAGTTTGTACTGAAACTGTCTTTTGGACCTTGAACCGTTTGGTTTCCATTGAAGTCCATTATATGGAGAGAAATCCTGGAATGTTTTCATCAAAAACCTTAATTTCTTTTTGACTGAAGAAAGAAAGACATGGACATCTTGGATGACATGGGGGTGAGTAAATTATCAGCAAAAGTTTTTTGAAAAGTGAACTACTCCTTTAATGCTTAAGGTTAATATCTACAGTACCATTTCAAAAACCACCAGACTTAAACCCTTAAACAAGCAAGCGTTAGATAAAAACAGTTTCTGAAGCAACCATGCCATCTAGATTGCTTATAGATGTTTTTGAGCTCATACCCGAACGCTCAAGTGCAATGTCAATACAAAGTTTAGAAAAGCCAAACATATGGAGTCAGTTATGTGGTGCAAACATCACAGTGTATTAGTTTACAAATCATGCTCTCTATGGTAAAAGTGAGTTGAGTTCATATTAACATGCTAGAAACGTGTGAAAAGTGTTTATTAATCAATAATCCACCCCTGTAATCATAATTTGTGTGAAATTGACTGTATGTTGGTACTAGAGGCACATTTTCCCAAACGAGGCTTTTTTTTTTACCTTTCAACGATGGTCTAAAAATAACTGATCATACACTTTGTTCACAGAGTGTACAAAAACAGAGAACTGAAGTATGGTTAAACACTTTCACGTCCTGTCAGTTATTGCACATGTCCATGATGCTAGACATTGTGAAACCTTTCCACTGCAGTAACATACAGTAACACCTACTGGTCTTGTTATATATGATATCCAAGAAAATTAAACTTTAAAGACTTAACATGAACCCTTATCTCCTCTCAGAGGGATGCGCAAGTCCCACTGATGCAAATGAACCCGCATCCTGGGCATCTGATTGGACGACGGACCAGTCATTCCAGCAGTCAGAGAGCACATGGATTGCCTTCAGCCAGGAGACTGTGGAGCAGAAGACAGTGCCTGGTGGCCAGTGGTGGCCTTCAACCGAACAAAAGCCAAACCTTTCCCTCTCTTCTCTCCATTATGTGGTAAAGATTTATAATAATTCTGTTTTCAGATTATTTACTAATGCTGCCCTCACGTGTAATCAGAAATTTCCTACTTCCCACTTTTAAAGATTATGAGATTGTCGCATTCAAGTTCTTTGTTGCCGGAAAGAATCGTGTAGGACATTGATTTATTCTTGGAGGACATTATTCTTTAATCATGGAGGACATTGATTTATTCTTGCCTGTTCATTGGGAATATTTTATTAGAGCAGGGATGATATTTAGCGTCCCATTGGCATTGGCAACCATATAAAAATTCACCGCACTATCTACATCGTCAGCTTTCTGACAATTCTGGATAACTCTTCATAACACTGTGTATAAAACATGCTTTAAACGAATATGCTCTACTTAAAGACAAGAGAAGGTAAATGTAGCTGTTGTGGAAAAACCTGATGAAGATTACCAGTCACAGCATGAAATCAAAATGCCCCCATGAATACATTAGCCTTACTGTTATCTTTAAGCTAGTGCTCCAAAATAACATCAAAATTCGCATTTAGAAGATATAAGCGTTCAAATCTTCCAGTCTCTCACTTCCACCAATATGGATGATGACATCAGATTTTCTATCCAATCATGCTCTCTAGAACTTGTAGCTCCGCCCCCTACATTATAAACAGATGCTGAAGCTGCGGCTAAAATTAGTCACATTCTCTATTTTCTACATGGTGAATGGCATATAGTGCACTATATAGGGGATAGGGAACGATTCATACAGTTTAATCCTTTCCATTGGGGCGAATGAAGTCTGGTTTCACGTTAATGTCACGTTAGGAGGAGAAACGGTTCGAAATTAGGAGGAAACTTTACCGAGGTCAACGGCTCTGGCCGAGCTGTGATTTAAATTAAACGCTACTGGCTATTTAAAAAAAGGGAGGAGCTGTTCGATATGTCCCGCCCTGTCTTCCTGTTTCTGTGGTAATTGTGTTGAATAATGCTGCACGTTTTAAAGTAGTTCACTTTAAAAAAAAAACTTTTGCTGATAATTTTCTCACCCCCATGTCATCCAAGATGTCCACGTCTTTCTTTCTTCAGTCAAAAAGAAATTAAAGTTTTTGATGAAAACATTCCAGGATTTTCTCCATATAATGGACTTCAATGGGAACCAAACGGTTCAAGGTCCAAAAGACAGTTTCAGTGCTGCTTTAAAGGGCTTTAAACGACACCAGACGATGAATAAGGGTCTTATCAAGCGAAACGATCGCTCATTTAATTAATAAATAACAAAGTTTAAGTTTTATAAGCTCAAATGTTCTGTGACGCACGTTCGTGACTCTCCTGTTCGAACTTCTTTATCAAAATGAACAAATCTTTTTTTGTGTCATTTGGTTCATTCAACGAACGAAATGAATGAGTTCGAGTTCGAATAGGAGAGTCACGAATGCGCATCACAGAACAGAGCAAGGCGACCATTTGCACTGAAACGGTCTTTTGGACCTTGAAGCTTTTGGTTCCCATTGAAGTCCATTATATGGAGAAAAATCCTTTAATGTTTTCTTCGAAAACCTTAATTTCTTTTCGAATGACATGGATATCTTGGATGACATGGGGGTGAGTAAATTATCAGCAAAAGTTTTTTTTAAAAGTGAACAACTCCTTTAAGGCACTTTAACTATAACTTTAAAGGTTTTGCCCCATGCAACTTGGGAGCTTGGGTATCAAAATGATCCCTGAGGTTCACAGTGGGAAATATGACTTGGGTGTTCATGTCCCCTTTTTAACTAGGAAATCCATATTTACAATAATTCCCATAACACGTGAAGGCGTTTCAAGACATGTTTTATGATTTTAAGTATCATACTAATATATCTTTAAACTCGAGAATGTTGTTGTAAGCCTATGAATGTTTGCTAAAACTCATCACAGTTGATGCTTTGATGACTAATGATCCTCACTATTTGTGTGTGTAGTCAAATGTCTTTCTAGAGGCCTTTCCCTCTGACGAGTCTCCCTGTGAAGATCCTGAATGCATTCCTACACTAAAGCAGCTTCTGCAAGGACCAGCTGAAAACAGCAATATAGGCGAGCACAAGTATGTTGCATTATTTGTAGCTTGGCTGTGCTAATTATTTATAAAGTTATAATACTATTAGGGGGATTTTTCAGCTCTCATCGGCTGCTAATAAGGGAGGCTCCGGGAACAGTTTGAAAGCCCATGACATATATAATAATCATCTATTGCCACCTTGTGGTAATACAGGATACTACTGCATTGCATCAGACAAAAAAACAAAGGCCTGACTGTTGTGCATGAAATTCTGTATTTCATCCTCTTGAGATGAGTGAAAATGTCAAAACAAACCTTTCTTTGATAATTTCACGTATAATAATGGTATTTGTTTTTCTTGTTACATGCTTTAAAACTCCGGCTTAATCATTTTGCTTTGGCCCAAAGGAAACAGAGCTTACTTGATGGCCTCCAGGATCTGGACCGGATGATTGGTGTGAAATATAAGAGGGCGGAGTCTGTGTCCTGTAAACTCCTCCTTCAGTCACTGCGTTTGGAACGACCCAGCTCTGTGAGTTGAATGATGAAAACATATTGCAAAAACTTGATATTAAAACAAACCTGTTTACACTCCTGGGTTTCGGGGTCTATACGACCCCAACAATTGATTGAGTAATTGTACAAAAAATATACATTTTTAATCATGCAAATAATATATACATTTTTTTGTTTACTTCTCATCTATTCATTAATGCTGTGTTTTTGGAGATATAAAGTACTTTTGTATCCATATACCACACAATTCCTCAACTACACCATTTGCTTGCATATGAAATATTATTTTTTATGATACATTGCATAAATGCTCTAATACTAGGCCTTCATTTCTTTGTAAAATTCTTCTGATTTATGCCAGATTTTTATTTTTATTTTTTTTTGACATGAAGAAAATATATTTAGTTTTTTTTTTTTTTTTCGCGTTTCCCATTCATTTCAATGTGGACCAGACATTTTTTTTTTACATACCTTCAGAACAACCGAATCAAGCCCAGTTTTGTGTGTGTGTGTGTGTGTGTATAGATAGATAATGTATGAAATGTATGAGATGAAGGGAACCTTTTTTTAATTGAGTAAAATTTGATTGGGGTCATATAGACCCCATGACCCGATTGAGGGCTGCGGTAGTAAATATTATATTTATATACAGTGTATTTACCATAAATATGGCTTGGTATTGGTGTTTTTAGTATAGTATAGTATATTTACTATAAATATTTCTATGTTTTCAATATTATAACCACATAATCATACTTTTCCACCTCAGGAATGTGTGACAGTTCGACTAAAGACCAGTTCCAGGTTTTCTCCAAATCTCCCAACATCCAACCAGCAGTTAGCTGCAAATGCTAAGAGAAGACTGTCATATGATTTCAACAGAAATATCAAGACTTAGTCTCTATATCTGCTGAAACATCTTTGACCCATGCTTCCTTGAAATAGGAAATTCAGCGGAGAGTAATAATACTGAATTTCCCTGGATGTTTATTTAACGTGTGTCTGTTCTCACTCAATGTCTGGTATATTCTGTTTCTCATTCAGCTGTGTATCCAGAAACACAAGATTTGCGTTCAGACAAATATGTTTTTTCAGTATATCAGCATATTAGGGTTCAATTAGGACAAATATACTCAAATGTCAAGTAAAAAAAAAGAGAAAAAAAACTTTGTCTAATTGTTAAGTTCAGGTGTAAGGAGACTTGTGCAGCATTGAATCTGGTTATTGGACCTATTTTTATCAAATATCACAGTATGCTGTTTTTGTATTGCTTTCAATCTATGTATTACATCTGCTAGGAGAAGCTTATTTTGCTGGAGCCATGGCGAACCTGTACATTCAAATATGGAATCAAAAAATATATATATTTTGATGTGGGGAGAGAGAAAGATTACAATTACTTTCTGCCCTCAAAAAGCTCTCCTTTACCTGAAAATTGTCAAAAGCTAGCAAATTTCCACAAAATGTATTTTCATACACCACCTCACCGAGAAATCCATTTTCTTGTTTCCATGTCTTTTCTCCCTGTGATTGAAGTACTAAATATGACACTATAGTGTACCATTTTTAACTCCTGAAGAATAGAGACCATATTTTCAGAAGTGTTTTAAAATGAATGTTAACATTTTCAATTGATCCTGTAAGCTTGTTTGTTGATTGATGTAATTAAAACACCTTTAATGACTGAATGAAGCGGATAACTGAGGGTTCGACCATGCAATGTTTTTTTGAGCAGATGTGAACTGCAACAACCTATGAACACAAAATTTCATTTTGAGTATCTGCATGTATTATTTAGTTCCAGTTATGCCATCAAAACATGTGAGGACATCTCCTTTAGACAGAGATGTAACAAGAGTAAAATAATTGGTTAACTTTGACTAATCAGAGTGACTTGGCAGCTTGTTTACCAGGATAATAGCTCAACTGTTCACACTGCTGTCCTCATGAGTTTATGAGGTCTGTTTACTTAAATGTGGATTTGAACAGAAATGCACTAAACTGTTTTGACTGAGACTACAGCTATTTCTATCCCCTCAGTGACATGTGACTCTCCCTCGCTTCATCTTCACAACAGACTTCATCACGAGTTTGTGTTTTCAAAAGAAAACTTAGGATAATTTAGGACACAATCAATATGTTGACCAGAAAGCTGTGTCGCCATGCGATTGAGGTCTCATTTATTGCTAAGTGTCGCAGTCACAGTGCAGAAATTTCCATATTGCTGTAATACACCCTATGCAAATTAACACAAACCCCTGCAGTGCATGAGTAACTTATCTGTAAAACCAATGTCTTCTTACGCAAGACACCCCAGGCGAAAAGACTAACTATTATCACCTTACTTCCCCAGTTGATTGATTATTTTAAGAATTTCAAATGTTTATAAGTTTTCTGAAATGTTTAAATATGCAAATGAGGCATTAATTAATTAAACATCCACCAATTTGCATACATTTCTAGAACAATACACTGGACATTAGGTAAGGCCAGGTTCATTTTGCATATCTCTTTTACCTCTTTACTGTCAACAGCAAGAAAAAAATAAAAATAAATGTTGCATAAAATCAGGCAAATTATATATGAACAAACCCCAATGTAAAAACCTTCAGAATATAGATAGGAATAATATTGTACATGTTGGTGTCGCTGAAGTGGAGATTTCTGACTCGAAAAAACATGCGAAAAATGGCTAGAAATGCAGTGTAATTAACATTGTATTTTGGATGTTTTCTTTCCACTAGTCTGAGAAAAAAAAAAACACTTATGAACAGCTAAAAAGCCCATATCTCAAAATCTATGGAAGCTTGTTAAGAATTTTTTTTTTTAAATAAATAAATAAAAATAAATTTTTTCCTCATAATTGGATTTTATTTTGGATTTAATTCTGACTTTTTTCTTACAATTGCTAGAAATACAGTCAAGAGGATTGCGAGGAAAAACTCAAAATTCGAGATATAAACTCGCAATTTGCAAAAAAGAAAGTCAAAATTGCGAGAGATAAAAAAAAAAATGAACGAATCTTTTCCCGAGTCAACTCGTTCATTTCGTTCGTTGAATGAACAAATTGACTCGGGAAAAGATTCATTTTGATAAACAAGGTCTTTTGAACCTTGAACCGTTTGGATCCCATTGAAGTCCATTATATGGAGAAAAATCCTGTAATGTTTTCATCAAACATATAATTTCTTTATGTTTTTGATGAAAAAAACTTTAATTTCTTTTCGACTGAAGAAAGAATGACATGGATATCTTGGATGACATGGGGGTGAGTAAATTTATTATCAGCAAAAGTTTTTTTAAAAAGTGAACTCCTCCTTTAAGACTCTTGGCAGCACTTGATAGTAATCACACTATGTGTATAATTGATTTCTCTGTTGGGTGTAAATGAAAGAGCTCGTTTGTGCTGCACACCCTATGTGCACACCTTACAAACACACACAATTCAAAGCATCCCCCATGTGACTCAGTGAGTTCCTGGCCACCGTGGCCAACTTCTCTCAGAGGGTGGAGGATTGTGAAAGGGTGGAGTTAATCAGTCCAACACATCACTGCAACAAATTAACAATCACTTTCGTCGCGTTTACTCGCAAATCCCACCATGTCCACGGCGTTCAGGTCTTGCTTTGTGCTCAGTGGCTTCATCCTAGCGTACATCACTTACTTGATATTGGGAGCGCTTGTTTTCTCTGCCATCGAGCGGCCCGTCGAAGAGACCCTGAAATCAGACCTGAACTCCCTGAAAGCTGAGTTCCTCAACCTGAGCTGCATCAACGCTACGGCCCTTGAAGGTTTCCTCGAGAGAGTTTTAAAAGCGAATAAATACGGCGTGTCGATCCTTGAAAATGCCTCGCTCCGTACAAACTGGGATTTGGCGTCTTCACTGTTCTTTGCCAACACGATGGTCACGACAGTGGGTGAGTTTCACAGGAACAGTTTAATTGATGTTGCGCTTGTTTGATGGATCATATTGGATATTTAATTATGTTTAGCAACCCCTTAAATCAGACGCGAGTGTAGAATTCTGTGTAGAACACCACAAACATTCGAAGTTCTGCAAAACAACGTTCCAAAGTTCGACAGAACTGAACATTCTAACTGTAGTCTATGTAAACAATAGAGTGGAATAACATTTTTATTAAGAGACGAGTTCATCAGAGTCATTCTTATTATGTAGTGTTTTCCTATTGCCTAAGGTGTAGCAGACTTAAGCCTTCTTATGTACTTTATGACGAACAACAAACAAACTTTTTTTACCCAGTGGCAAGATGAACAGGATACAGGATGGGAATGTTGGCGATTGAGGCCCCTTTGTGTGGAATCTCGTTCAAAAATACAAATGCAGACATATTTTAATTTGACCTAAAGACTAGAGCTTTTTAATTGATTAATCTCTTGATTTCTGACCATTGTTTAGACTGCTGAATAAAACCTCCTAACCTAATAGGATTAAAATGGAGCATGCTCTAGTATTGAAAATGTATTAAACCAATATTTGGGTTTGGGATTTTATAAACATATGCACACAAAAGCTGGAATCAGATTGTAAATCAAATGTTGAATGAATGTCTTGGTTGGTACACAACCTTATTTAGATTTCTCAAATAGATAAATGTGATGGATGTGTATGGAATTGGTTTATTGTATGTCAGGATTTCATTAAAAAAAAATCCAACTCCCAGTTATTAAAAGGATTATTTTCATATTCAGTTTGTTTTAAATGTTACTTGTTGAAGGTCTGTGTTTAGATTAAAGCATACGATTGGACTGGTAATGGAAATTTGGCTTGTGTGAAATTTGGAGTGCAGTGTATACATTACTTAAATAGTTTTCATGTACTTGTGAAGGGAGTTTAATTCGATGAACTTGCATGTTTTTCATCCGTTTTACCTTTAGCTGTCATCTCCACCCAGTAGTGCTGCTGTTAATAGAGGAAGTAAACATTTGCATGGAAAGGAAATGTGTGGTCTAACATTCAAATTGTAGTGTGTGGGAGAAACTTGTTTTTGGTTGCTTATTACTCTGAGACAGTAATTCCACATTTAAAGGTGCAATGTGTAACATTATTAGTTACGGAAATGCAATATGACATCCATAACTATGTTTTCAGTGGTGTATAAAGAACTTAGTCTACTTAAAAAAACATAATGTTTTTTATTACCTTAGAATGAGGTAGTGACTTTTCCCTTGTCAATGGTGTTAAATATGTAGTCGAACTGTTTCATTTAACTTAGTTCTTCTCCCTCGCTGTGTTATGGCTTTGCTATGTGGGGATAAATGTGCTTACGTTCGTGAGACAGCTGATTAGTACTCTTATCATTGACTGTAAAACAGTAACGTTACAGGAATCACCATCCCGTCGATCGCGGTCGACAAGTCGATCTTGGAAGCATTTTAATTCGATCGTGAAGAGTTTTCAAAGCCTATTGTGTGTAGTAAATGGTGTCTATGTGGGGATGCGGAGGCGCGCACGCTAGATCCGCACCTGACTATGGCTTTGTAAACTTTTTAGCCATGATGTGGTTTATAATGGACTTTGGTACAGAAACATTGACAATGATGCACACTCTTGGCTTAATCTGGCTGTTCTCTGCTCTCTCAGACGACTATATGTTTGTCCCGTTTTAGCCACCGTAGCTTCTTCGAAAGGGAGGGGTGACCAGTGGGCTGAGCCCTTAGTGCAACTCGCAACCGAAACACTAGATGTCGCCAAAAATCACACACTGCAACCATAATGTATATGGTTGTGTATATGGTTCCATAATGTAAGTGATTTTAAGGTTATTTCATGATACTTGTTTTTGTCAAACCAACATATATACGACTCTTGAGTGTAGGCATAGTGCAAGCTTTGTTTGCTTAAACTGGGCTTGTTTGTCCTGCAAATAGTATCATGGGAAATCAATCCTTTGACCTGTTTGTCTGTATAAAGCTTTCCTTTCATCGAGCATGTTAACCTGTGTAGCTGACCCTGCTCTGTATTAGATTACACTAACAGCTTTATGCAGTCAGGAAATCACATGCGTTGGATAATTAGCTAGATAAAATGTATATTTCAGCCAAAAATAAAGATTCTGTGGTCATTTACTCACCCTCATGTCGTTCCAAACAAAGTTGTTTTTGTATGGACACACAGTTCAGTTCAGTATGTTGTCTTTTTTGTTCCACTGAAGAAAAAGTCATACAGGTTTGGAAGGGAGTAAATGATGTAAGACTTTTAATAAATTATGTAAGAACCTTCAAAAGTCAGAGCATCTCACATGAAAATGCAAAATATTTACCATGATATAAGTCATTTTCAAACACAAGGAATGATGTCGCAATATAGTTCTTCTGGCTGAAATCAGAGATGTTAATAATTCAAATGAAAGCCAAACCCACTATTTTTCTACACAAACTCAATTTAGGAAATGATATCAGATTCTTGTATAAAAATAGAAATAAATAAAAGCTCATATCAGACTCTTTGACAACCAGACACCTGATTGTATATTCATTGATGCTTTTTGAGAATTGTTTACTCTGGCAATGAAACTGACTCCCCATTATCTAAAATCTCCTAATAACGTTAGCCTTTTCACCTGCAACATCCGATCATATTCATTAAAGAGTAACTAAACACTTAACCAACTTTTTTTTAGGTAACTAAACCCCTGGTCAGAGCCTGACTCCACCCACTGGCAATATTTGAAAAATGTTGAAAAAGTGGGTGGACCCCAGCGGAGATGGAGGGGACGAAATAGATGCTAAAACACTCTATCCTCAACATGACATCATGACTTTTGCGTAAACACTCTATCCACGCCACATACACACCAATTTCGAGTCAAATACACGCTAATTTCGAGTCAAGTGGCGTGTTATCTCGACGCATTTTGAGGTGTATGCGTGTATGTCTACGCCATTAACGTCCGTGTCATTCCGCGTGTCTGTACACGCCGTCAAATGTCCAAGCAAAACAAACTAAAATGTACATCTACATCTGGGGAGCTATGTTTTTCTTTCCTAGGATGGTAGGGGAACAGTCATAAATGCCATTAACCCCAGTGACGGGTAGGTTTAGGGACTGGGTTGAGGTAAGTCATATATTTATATATACACAGTAATAACGTTAAGTCAACGGCGTTCATAAACACGCTGAAAAGCGATTATGCGTGTTGATGGCACGCCAAAAATGGAAAAACGAATTGGCGTGTCTTACACGCGCTACTTCATGAGATCAGTCTGCTATCCTGATCGTTTTCAATACTCGCAATTCCAACTCCTGACTCGCTACAGTATTGACGAAACAATACTGCCAAGGGTGTAGCTGGTGCCAAGAGCGTGTTGAGCTGAAGCCTGCGTAGTACGTACGTCACGAAGTTCGGAACATCCAATAGGAAAATTCAACCTGAAGAGGGCAGCACTAAGGCGTTTTTACAGCATATATTGTAGAAATAAAACACTTTATACACAAATGTCAAAAAACTAAAAAAAGTTGGTTCAGGGTTTAGTTACTCTTTAATAATTTATTAACATCACTTAACCCTCAAAAATACTGGCCAATATGTAAATATCTTAATTGCCTTCAACGCCCAACCGTGTGCCTGGGACTTTTGCTAGACAGCCCTATAAATACAATATAGATCTAAATCACTCGTATCATTGTTCTATAGCATCATATTGCTCATTCTAAAAACATGCTCTATATGGTAAAGCACTAAGGTATTTTTTTTTTTTTTTTTTTTTTGTAGTCTTGTTTTGTAATGTTGTTGTCTGTGTATATTACTTATGTTTTAGGACCCCCTTGAAAATGAGATGTTGCATCTCAAGGGGCTATCCTGTCAATAAATTCAAATTCAAATTATTATATACTATTATGACTTTCTGTAAAGCTGTGTCTTGTAAAAAAGCGTTATTCAAATGAATTTGACTTGACATGATGTGTCGTGCCTGTTGGAAACATTCCCCTGCAAAGATTTGTTTGACTTGTTTCCCTCTCTTCCAGGATACGGCCACACTACGCCGCTCTCTGATGCGGGTAAAGCGTTCTCCATCGTGTATGCTTTGATCGGAGTGCCCTTCACCATGCTGGTGCTCACAGCCTGCGTCCAGCGCCTCATGCACCCCCTGACCTACGGGCCGATCTCCCTGTGCCAGCAGCGGGCCGGCCTGCACCGCCGCACGGCCAGTGTTGTGCACTTCATCGTACTGATGGTCCTGGTGGTGCTCGGCTTCTTCGTGATTCCGGCGCTGGTGTTCAGCGCCATAGAAGAATCCTGGTCTTTCTTGGACGCCTTCTACTTTTGTTTCATCTCCCTCTGCACTATAGGACTGGGGGACTTTGTGCCAGCAGAAAAGCCAGGACAGAGACTCAGAGCTTTGTACAAGATATCAGTCATGGGTAAGAGACTTGAATCTCCTTGAGTTTCCTTTCAGAGAACTTTTGGTTGAGCTCAAAGACAGGTGAGGGGTGTGAAAGGCTTTAACCAAGATAGGGCTTTTGAAGTTTTCAACAGATAAGGCAAAATTTCCCTCGTTTATCAAAACATCAAATATAAACTTTAAAATGTACTATATTTAAGTATAAATTAATAAATAAAGGCTCATGGCTATAAAAGAACTGGCTTGGTAGAAGGAAAAATATTAGGTGTAAAAAGTGAATTTCACCATTGTGTCAAAGCCAGTCTCCTCTGAATGATTATTAAATATGATTCATTAATACTAATTCAGCTGTACAATTTAAATTTATGCTTTGCTTATTTAATATTTGGGTTTTATGGTTAGTGCCTGACCTCACAAATGCTCTACTGGACGACTGGGCATATAGTCCCATAGAAACACTCCAAAAAATTGTGGAAAGCGAAGCGACACAGGGTGGACCAACTTCATATAAATGTCTGTATTTCGAATGCGAGGTCATACATTTACTGTGTGTCAATCCTTGGCAAACGTCTTAAACAATATTGGAACAAGTTTTTGCCTGTAGATTGCTAAAATTCGTTCTTTTCTCTTACAGCGCATCTGTTTTGGGTCCGTCTTACATTCCACAAACTTGCTAATATATTCTAATCCATCCGAGGAAACTTGGATGCAATTGTGAAATTGACCTTTTTACCCCTAATATTTTACCCATGTGCTTATTTATTTTATTTATTTATTTATTTAAAAGGGACAATGCATATTGATAAACATTTCAGTAATGTAAATATGCCATAATTAGCCCCAGGGCTACTTTCCATCTGCAGTTCCCCATCAGGTCATCACAAAACAACACATAACAAAACTAACATTTAAGTTTAAATAGGATACTACACAGTTTAAAGAACACCTTAAAATTCAGTAACAATTGCAAAAGACACCACTGTTTTCAGACAAATTACACGTATACAGTAAAGTGCTATTCTATGTACTTCAAATGCGTTGCAATTATGCTAAAATACTGGAATTACAATAAATACTGAATCTGGTTTGATATACATACAAATGCTTACACAATACTACAGTGATCTTTATTCATATACCTCGATTTTAAAGAAGAAAATTGTTTAATGGTCACAATTTTAATGTGTCTTGAGCCATTGTTTAAGTTGATTCTTAAAGCTGGGAAAAGTCGGATATTCTCTAATGACAAGTGGTAATTTGTTCCAAATCTCTGACCCCTTAATTGACAACACATATTGTCCTTGTCAATGTTATTGTCATAGGAAACTTGTATATATCATACCAAGTGCCAGTGGGCTGGCATTTTATATATTATATTATAAATATGAATATTTTTTCCTTTCTACAGAGCTCTGAAATATTTCAGCTTCCCTTGTAAGTATTTGAAATGGTTATCTAAAGTTGTTTCGTTGCATGAGTTGTCGTTCTGTTCTCTTCCAGTGTACCTGTTTGTGGGCTTGATGGTCATGTTCCTGGTCCTTCGCACGTTCCACAAGCTTGCAGATGTGCACGGGTGGACCGCTTTCTTCCAGCTGCCGAGTTGCGAGGAGGAAGATGAGTATAAAGAGCCAATAATAGATGGCAAGCCTGATGACGAATCGCCCGAGGCTGAGAAGGCCTCAATAAAGCAGCGGGATCCCAACTCTCAAGTGTCCTACAACTCCATAAATGGATAAAATACTAGATCTTTCCTCATTCGCATAAGATCACTTCTTTCTGCTTTGTCCTGCACTGGTAAGTTGTCTTTAACTGCAGCACCTCCGAGGTCAAGTCAGTCGAGTATGAACACGTGCGATACAACACACCTCACTGTTGGGCAGAACATCTTGGAACAAAGCATCTGGGTGGATTGTACCATTTTCATGAACCATATGATTATTTTTTCCCTGTTTGGAGTTTTCAAATTTGATCTTCAAGACTTTAGTAATGTTGCCATTCTTTTAGGAAATTGAAAACGTGCTCATTGTGTCCTACGTGTGAATGTTCTCTGTGGTTTTGTGTAGGATTTGTAACTGATTGCTATTTTCATATTCAGATATATTTCCAGACTATTAATTTTTTTTTTTTTTTTTTTTTGGACCAAGACCTCGCAATCTTGACAGAAGAACAGGAAGACAATGCCGTCCAGTATGAAATGAATTGAATCATTGCTTTCTGAGCTAGCTGATGTTGGTTTTTTATGCCTTGGGATGTGTGGATCTTCAGAAGCACTTTATAACTGGCTTTTTACATTTTATAATTGACAGCCAATGACTGAATGCTGGACAGTCTTTATTGTGGTATTGCACATTCATTCATTGTTCTTTGTATTATTATTATATAGTAAATGTTGGATGGTAGGGAACAAAAACGTGTCTGATATTCATGTCAGAACAAAAAGTGTTTTAAGAAATGCATGCACAGAAAAAAAAAATAAAAACGTTTTTGGTACTTTGTGACTGTGTGATGAAATTTATCATGAGTCTGTGTAGCTGTGGAGTACAGGAAGGTTTCACGACACACATCCGGTATTATTTCTAAGAAAACTTTTAAATACAGCGGCTGGACAATGAAACTGAAACACTGGCTAATATAGTGTTGGAGGTTTCACGCCAATATATGTGCGGCCTGAGTGTGAAGGTTGCAATCCACACAACATAATGGGAGACACGTTATTTTTGTCATCTGTGACAAGTCTTTGTGGTGTGTTGAGAGTTTTGGTATCTAGGATAATGTCCAAAAAACACACCACTGCCCAACTCGACACTCCTGTTTCCACCAAAACTGTTCACCAAAGCTCCACAGAGTCTTTATTCATGGTCATGTTGCTATTACCAAACAATTCGTCACTCATGCCAATGCAAACAGTGCAAACCTTGGGCTGTGGACTATCAATGTGAAAAATGTATTGCTCTCTGATGAGTTCACCTTTATTGTCTTTTGGTCACGGTGTAGAGAAACCCCAAAGACACATAAAACTGTGTTGCGTGCCCAGAGTGGATCAGTGATGGTTTGAGCTACAAAATCATGGTATTCTATCATGGACACGTCACTGCTAAGCACTACCAAACCATTCTGGAGGACCATTATAAATAATTTCGTTAAAAAAAAACGGATAATGTACTGGCAGAAAATTACCAGGAAAATTACCGTTAAATGACAGCTCCTTCAACCCTAAAACAGAAAATTCTGTATATTAGAGGGATAGTTCACTAGCTCATCAAAAAAATAATTTTTGTTCTGTTTTAGCTTACCTCAAGGGCATCCGAGATTTCGGAAGAGATCCACACAGAGATTTCGGACGTTCTACCTTTCACTAAACATATTTAGATATATCGAAATCGTCTTCCATTCCGATTTCCTGTATATCTATGCTTAGATCTTCACAGTGAAAGGTAAAACTTCTGAAATCTCTGTACAAACAATGAATGACATGCATGCGCAGACTGAAGCGACTTTATGCACAGCTTCACTACTTCCTGAACTTAAGCCAGCTCCTTGTTTCCTGTCTGCCATTATTGGCCAAATTGATTAATCCAGGTGTGTTTGACCTCAGTAGTCACGGCAACAATAATCAGACACACCTGAATTAATCAATTTGGCCAATAATGGCAGACAGGAAACAAGGAGCTGGCTTAAGTTCAGGAAGTAGTGCAGCTGTGTATAAAAGCCAATTGGACGTGGCTGAGGTAAAAATCTGTTCGTTTTCTCACACAAACCGCTCGTTTCGTGTCTTAGGCCATCAATGTGTACTTGCATTTATGAGTCATTATATCATGTTTAATTTTGACTTCTCTGTGCATGCTCTTTGAGGTGGACCCTGTAAATCTCCATTATGACTGACAGACAAGAACGGTTTGACCGAAATATATCAAAATTGAAAATACTGCGGAAACAAAGACACCTACATCTCGGATGCCCTTGAGGTAAGCTAAAACATATCAAAAATTAATTTCAAAGCGAACTATCCCTTTAACATTACATTTTCTGCACTATTCACGGATTGTCAGCATTTATTTTGGTAGCAAATAACTAAAGAACGATATATTCAAATTGAACATGGTTTATTTTTGTAAAAATGTTCACGTAAACAATCTTAAATGCATTCAATAGGTAAAGATTTATTTATATTTATATAATTCCCACAATGCAACGCGTAATTCAAAATACGGCTAAAAGACAAATATGGAAAAAATCCTTGAAATGTATGGTACATTACCGTATTTTTACGGATTTTTTTTTTACAGTGCACGGCATGACTTGTGACAGAATGGTTTAATGAACATGAAAGTGAATTTGCAGATCTCCAGATCTGATCGAATATTATCGAGCCAAGATTCAAGTGTTTTCCCTCACCAGAATCATTGAGTTAGTACCACAGTTCTGGAAAAGGAATGGCTCAAAATCCTTCTAGCGAGTGTGAAGGACTTATATCTGTCATTCCCAAGACGAACTGATTGTGTATTGGCTGCTAAAAGAGTTATACTATATAATAATATATTACTGTGATCTGAAACCATCAGTTTGAGTTTTATCGTCCAACGGCAATCCCATGGTTTTGAAAGCAGCTGTAGCTAATAAACACGGTAGATACGTTTACTCAATCCTAATCTCTCCTATAAACAGAATAAACTTCCTTCCTGTCTGTCATACATGTAGTTCTTATACATGTTTTAGCTTAATACTGTAGCGATTCTAATAGTGATATATAGAATAAAGCAATAGTTTTTCTTTATCAAAATGTGTTGTTTTTTTAATAGGCCTATGTGTAATTTTTCCACTAATATATTTCATACAGACTCTAAAGGCTAATCCTGAAAATGGTATGGATGTCTTGTTTTGTAATTACTTAAGCAAGTTTCTTTATACATGAAATCATAATTCTTATTATCATCTGCAAGGCATTTGGTTCAAAAGGGCATTTCACTCTTTTTATAAATAAAACTTCCTCATTTAGCCACATGATGTCACCAAGTACCACTTTATTTGACATATAACAATAGAATACAAAGAGATAACAAACATTATAATTTCATTCTCTCAATAGTAAATATTTTGCATAGGCTAGTTAGGCAACTACATGTTTTATCTGCTGAAACAGCACCAGTATATTCATAATGCTCAATTACTGCATACAATAATAATATCGTTAAAGTAAAAATATACACACTCATATTTTAATGACCTTAGTCCATCTAAATCCAATCTTCAGGACAGAACGACATATCAAAGCATCCATTATAAAATTTAGGGATTTGACTTAATAGAAAAAGTGCATCTCTTTGAGAACAATATAATTTCTAAAAGTAAAAAATATATATACGTAGTCATAGAGCGAGACATTTGTGAGGACTTAAAAGTGATCTGGACTTTTTCAGCACTTTGTTAATTGACATGTTCAGGAATTAATCCTTTCGTTTCTCACAACAGAACTAGAGATATGCATATCTATCGGACGAATGACTGCTATTAACTATCAGCTGACATGGATCAACTACTCTGCACGACAAACTGGCAAACATGAGGTAGCAAATCATAATCCGTGTCTTACTCAATCCCTTGTGCTATTTCAATGGCAACGTTATCAATACACCTCTAAAAACTGTTATCAAATAACTATTACTTCAACATCAGAAACATGACATCATAATCAGCTTTGAGGGTACGTTCGCATTAGGATGTCCATAACATGCTCGATCTCCTGGATTTCCCATGTGGCCTGACCATGAGAGTCTAAAGATGAGGAAGAGGATGCTGATGGAGATTTGGACAGGGATGGTAGATACTTCACTAGATCGTCGGCCGTGATGGAGAAACCCTGCAGAAGATTCACCTCCGGTTCAAACACAGACGCGTCGATGTCAAGGACAAGTTTATCTAACGCTACATCCTGAGGACAACCTAGACACGCCGCCTCTGATTTGATGGACGGCACCGTGCTGGACGATCTTTCAGTCCTCGAACTCGACTGCGCGAGCCTGGCATCTCCTATTAGATTCTCTACGGAGCCGAGCGGAGCCCGAGGAGCGGCATCTATGACTGTGTCTAGATCTTTGAGGATAACAGCGATGGCTGAAGATAAAGAGAAATCCTCCTCTGAAGTCCAGGCCATGACTTCCTCCTCCGTATTTTCATCATTCAGCGAGAACAGGGGTGCATTATGCTCTGCCGAAGGGGACCCACTGGGAAAATCGGACTCCAACCCGGAGTGAGTTTGTGATTTAGTGGGGATTTTTACAGCGGACAGAGATTCGACCTCGGACTGAACCTGCCGCAGCGTGTTGTTGATGAGGACCGAGCGTAATAAGCTGGGCTCCACGAGGGCCTGGTCACGGTGGAACTTCTCCATGGAGATGTCCAGCACAGACTGCAGCTGACTCTCCCACGCTCCTCCTCTTCCCTCGCCCTCCCGGTGGAGGAGCTTACGCTTCTGTCCTTTGGCCACCATTCCACACTCTGCAAAACAACAGCGGGTTTGAGTTTATAGTGCAAATATAAGGAAATGTTTAGGTGAACTGCTCCTACATCAATACAAAATAGACACTTCGTTGTCACTCCTGCCAAAGTAAACCGAGAGACAGAGAAGTGACGAGTGTGTTAGTTTCTGAGTGATCTGAGAGCGCGGACGCTTCGGTCTGTGCAAGCGCTGGAAGTGATCTCTCGCGCGGTTGCGAAAAAAATTCAACGTTGTCTGTTGATATATATCGAAATCGTTTTCCATTGTGATTTTCTGCATATCTTAATATGTTTAGATCTTCTTTTAGATCTTCATCTCTGTGTAAACAATGAGTGACGTACACGCGCAAAAGATCACTTCCGGCGCTTTCCAGCGCTTGTGCAGATTAAAGCGTCCGCGCCCTCAGATCCCTTGGACGTGGCTGTGATTACAAGAGGTAAAAACGATATAAATACTGTTCGTTTTCTCACACAAACCGCTCGTTTCGTGTCTTAGGCCTTCAATGTGTACTTACATTTACGAGTCATTAAATCATGTTTAATTTGGACTTCTCTGTGTATGCTCTTTGAGGTGGTGACCATAGACCTCCATTATATGACTGACAGACGAGAACGGTTTGACCTAAAAATATCAAAATTGAAACTACTGTGGAAACAAAGACGCCTACATCTTGGATGCCCTTGAGGTAAGCTAAAAAAAATGACAAAAAGAATTACAAAAACAAAAGTAAAAAAAAACTAAAACTATCAAGAAAACCTATAATAGTATTTAAATGGGGGAGAAGCTGAAGCCCAATAATACAGTATTCATGACTTTTGACATCATTGATTATAAAATAGTGCATTAACTATTCTATTTAAAATTGTGTTAAGGCAATTTAATTGATTTTTTTTTCTCCCTATAACTAACTTACAGGTATATGAATACATAAAAAGTGAATTGCCCATATTTTACTTAATAAAATAATATCATATACAATGAACTGTGAATTCTAAATGAATGATTGATTTCACTCAAATAGCCAATAGGTTTTCATGAATATCAATGGTGTATGAAATATACATCTAACTCATGGAAATTTTCAATAACAACCTTATGATTTACAAATAATACATTTTAAAAATAATAACATAACAGTATTAACAACATGCCACATGGGCCTTCTGTGCCAGTTATCTTTACAATCCAAAATTAAAAAAATAAATACAAATTTAATCCACAAATCTAAAAAAACAAACTTTTGATATTCAACATAATGTCACAGATCACCATTTTCCACAGGCACAAAATTAGATCAATTGACCTCAAAACTATTTTGACTGACTAAATCACACGTTGTAAATTAAGATAAAATTACAATAATAAAGAGTTGAGATGAGATTGTGTGCCAAGAGAAAAAAAATATATGGGTGGGTGGTTGGTTTTATGATTTTGACCTATAACGTTAGCCTATTTAATACAATGATCTAAAACGCTCCAACTGATGAAACGCGAGTCTGTTTTAGTAAACTAGACGCGTAGGACAGAAAGTATCGTGTTTAAAAAATATTGTAACGTATCATGTTTAATTTAATTAGACTTCTTTCGAATTGAATTTTGAAGACGACATTTGCCGGTATAAAAAAAATAAACTAACTGTTAGGCATAATCACTAAGTTACATCTGCCCGTTTTCAGAAGTTTGTGTAAGCAGAAATCAGTGCGCTAGCTTAGCATGGTAACTATCCACTATTACTGTCTGTATCGCATGTTTTACTCACCTGTAAACTATGTATACCAACTCCACACTCGATGTAACTATTGTAAGTTTATACAGTAATTTGACCGCTATAAATTGTATAATGCTGCTGATGACTCGGACTCGTTTGCACTGCTGGAATTTTTTTGTCCCGCCAGTGATTCAATCAGTTCTGACGTCACGCACGAGTCGGGAATGCTGGGTATTGTAGTTTTGTAAGTACTTACTAGTTCTTAAAGGTACAAACACCTAAAAATTATACAAAATACTCTTTTCGCCGCATAATAATACACATGTAAAAAAAAAAAAAAAGAAAAACAAGCAGGAACATCTTTATTTTAAAAACATAAAATAAAACTATATTATTAGGCAAATTACAATAATGTTTTATAAGGCAAAACAAAAACAAGAGAGGAATTTTTCCACGCAACCATCTGTTTTTCAGTAAGTACAAAATAACATTTAAATATATTTCTAAGTGATGATTAACTAAAAGTACAATTATTGCTAGGCAGCATGTGTTCATGAAAAAAAAAACACAATCAGAAGAATCATAAAAACTTTCTCTGTTAAAATATATTGCTTACTGCAGAGCCAAATGATGTCCAGCTCCCCCTCTCTGGACTGAGAGCTTTTAGTACTACTAAAGAGAAATTACTCAGAGCACCTAAACAAAGCCCTGAGTAGATTAACTATATTCCCCACTAACTCCGACTGTCTTTCCATCCCATTCAGAAGTGGAAAGGCACTTGACAAAGAAATGGCCCAGGTCATATTTGGAGATGACTCTTCCTTGTAACATGTTCTCAGTCACGGTGTATTTTTCTGTCAGAGGCTTATCACCTGGAAAAAAAAAACAAAAAATAATCATAGCATTTCTTGATCAACTGTTGGCGTTGAAGGTCATGGCAGTGAAATATAACCAACCAAAATAACAATTCTAAAGCCAATTCAGTCATGAATTCAACTCTCAGAATAGTTTTAGCATGTTATTGAATAAGGCGATGTTAATGTATTTGGTTTTGGCGGACTAGTAGATCTGCTACGCTGCTGCTTCTGCTGTATTAGAAGCAAGTTTGGACTTGATACTGCTAACAACAGATACACTGCTGTCATAGCTGTCAAGCCTCCAGTTTTTTCCGGGTTTCTCACATATTTTAGCTCTTGTTTTTAGTATTTTCCAGTAAAATTTCCTGTATTTTTACACTCTGACTGTGTGAAACGTACAAGCTCGGACAGATTCTGCTTGAAGTCGATCGTCCTCGGATACGGCGCCGCGAGCGCTGTTACAAAAAAGCTGTGCACACACAGCCAAGCGAAATGAGGTCTTGCGCACCAAACTTGTCACTTTTGCCGTGCTCGTGCGGACGTGTCGAGTATAAACAAGGCTTTGAAAGGTGGACGGACCTCTCCCGAATCATCTCCAGCACTCACCGAAGCACCACAAACTCCGCCTCCGTTTCCCTCGTAACCTGATATTAGTATTTAAACATTCTCTATGATTTTTTTTTTTAAATGACACACTGTCCCTTTCTCTCTCTCTCACACACACACACACACACACTCCGTCTCTCTCACACATATGTAAGCTAGTTATAAACTCTTTAGACTTTTAATGATTAGTGCTTTATTTTTAAAGTTTGTGGGTAAGAATCTTGTAAAAAAAAATCCCTTATTTTGGGGATGGATTCTGGGAAATCTCCCTTATTTTCAATGTTCAATGTAGACAGCTATGACTGCTGTGTTGCTGCTGCATAAATACACATAAATCCAGAAGCAGATTTGTGAGCTGTTTACACAACACCGTTTTCAACTAAAAACGTTCAACTTTGTATGCGTTTTGGACATTCGTGTACATGACAACTGCATTTTGGGGACCTGAAAACGCAAACCTTTGAAAACGGGTTTCAAAGTGAAAGTTTTCGAAAACGATAAAACATGTAAACATCAAAAACGTAAAACTCTGAAGACATGCGTATTACGTGTTCAGTCTATAGTGTTTCATCACCATCTAATGGCCTGGCAGCAGAATACAGCGTTTTTTAGTCATTTGTTTCGTGTGAATGGGGATCGTTTTGACAATGGAACTGTCTGTATGTGGGAAAACTCAAAGAAAAACCCTCTCCGTTTTAGCATATCGTTGTAAACGTACTATTAGGCAGGTGAAGCTGGGGAGGTGAAGGGGTTCAGAAGAACTCTGATAGCGCACTGCAGGACTGGCTTACAGCAAACAATGAACCAGTCTATTTAAATGTTGAGAAAGCAATCTCATTGGCTGCAGGATCCGATGATGTGATTGCTTTCAAACATCATGTAAGGACCAAGTGGCAACATTCTAATCTGAAAAATGAAGCCAACCCGGAAATGCGAAAAACTGCAATACATCGAAAATCCGCTAGAGGCCGGTCCCAAAAGGGAGCAAATGTCCATAAACCCCATGTTAAAATGTCCGTTTTCACAGAATAAATTCATGTTTTTACAGTTTGGTCCCATGGACTTTTATTGTAATCTTCAATATGTTCCGCGTGCCTGACAAATGTGAGGGGGGTGAATTTTTTTTTTTTTCTGACTCGTTAGTTTAGATCGTATTTAGATATTTAGGGCGGTTAACTTTGATTGACAGCTGATAACGGGCTGCGCCGAGTGGAATTTGACGTCTCGGACGTGATCTGACACAACACATCAAATCACCTCTGTATCCTTTCTGAACATTTATATTTTGCATTTCCCAAGATTTTCCGGTATGGCGTCGCCCATACCCCCCATAAACAGCCTCAAACCCGTTCTTCAGAAAGTCTATGGGTGACGTCACAGACGCTTTGTGCATATTTTTTACAGTCTATGCTAAGGACCTATCAGCCTGCGCCATCTAACTGAAATTACTATTTTAGGCATGTAGGTCACTTAATGTTAATTACCAGCAATATGTGGAGGCATTACGGCTACATAGTCCAGTCCTGACTGCTTCAGGATAGTGTTCATTCTGTCATGATCTTCAGTGACCGGCACCAGGCGAGGAGGAACTCTAGCACGATCCCACAGGAGGAACGCTGAGAAAGAGAAAGAGAGAGCGATGACAAATTCTTCATATGCAAATATGCACTTACACACTATTGAATGAGACATACCTGACATGCATGCAACAACTTTGCGGATTCCACGAGCTTTCATGACCTCCAGAATGTTCCGTGTTCCCTCAGACATCATTGTTGTGGGACCAGCAAACAAAATTTCATTAGATAAGTTAATAATGTTCAATTAGTTCACTGGTAAAAGCAATCAATTCCTAATGGATAAAGTCAAGTCCCGCCCTACTTTTTTTACTCTAAAGGGTTTGTTCACACTTGGCATGTTTTAATTCGATTTCAACTGTGATTGCTTAGTTGGTGCATTTCATTTCTATTTTGTTAGTGCTTTCATTCAAGATGGGTCTCAGACCACTTCCAAAAACAAACATATTTTTCTCATTTTAGGCACAATGATGTTGCCCATTACAGGCATCAGAACCGCGTCTCCCAGAAGAGCTTCGCTTGTGTGTGAGGAATTGATTCCGGTCGCTGTTTTGACTCCTTTACACATTTTATAAACTCTTCACGAGTTCTCAGTTGGTCAAAACACCATCATATGTAGCTACGCACAAACAACGAGCGCATTTAGCCCAGAACACAGCATTGTTTTGGGTGTTCGATAAGGTCTGTTGCAAAATATACAATACGTAATACAAATTGACCAATCAAGTTGTGAACATAACCCTATGCCTTTAGGTTCGGTGTTAAAATGCCATTGTGAATGGTAAGCGGGATCAGGACTCATTTTTTGAGAACCGAACTACAAGTGTGAACACACCCTAAATTACATCAATAAAATAGGGTTTTCATGCTGACGTTACTTAAAATTTTGAGTAAAATTCATTCATATCTTGTAATGGTCTGTATATGACCTACAATAATAAGTGAATTTGTTTCTAGGTTAAGTAAACTCACTGAGATCATTTCTTGTCCCCAGAATGATAATGACTGCATCCTGACCCTCCAGGGTCTTCTTCACATCTTCTTTGTTCAGAACATCTCCCACTACCACTCTGGAAGCCTTGTGGTCTGAAGGAAGCCTTGCAGCGTCTCTCACCAGCACAGTCACATTGTAACCTGGAACCGCAAATAATCGAAGACGTCAGAAGAATCGGCAAAATAGATCATGCAAGATGTCTGTATGGTCAGGATGATCAAGCTAAGTAAAGCCAAACATTTTTTTTTTCTTAAATTGAGATTATCATATTTTCAAAAAGTACATATGTTCACTGAAAATTTATTTTGGCACTAATTTGTATTATATTCATGGAAAATTACATATATGTATATTTTCATCTTGTTTACCCTAAACAAAACTGACAATAATCCAGCTAAAGTGGAGGCAAGTGGATTCAGACCTGTGCAATGTCCAGATAAAAACAGACAAGAGGGGGTCACATTCTTATCTTTAAAATGCATAACGACACTGTGACTCAGCAGATGAGTTATTATGCATGACTGCGAAGTTTCGCAAACGTCTCGTGATCTCAATGCATAAAGTAGCTGTTAGCAAAACAAATATATAATTTTAACAAAATGTCAATCTTAGCAAAATCAAAATTAACACTTGTTTATATACAACTCATATTGATAATATTAATCCTGTTTTCATTCACTTTTACCATTTTCGACACAACAGTTTCTGTTTTATAACATCTTTGCTAGGTCAAAGACAGCTGCTGCAGTGAAATATTGTGGAAAAAATATCAGCTCTGTCCCAGGCCAGATGTCATTGTGTAAGAGTTTAACGTTACCTGCGGTCACTGCGATAGGTAAGGTCGCTAACCCCGTCATCCCCGTGCTGCCGAATATTGCCACATTTTTAATAGCATCAGACATATCGGCGAGTAGAAAGGCTCTCGGTCGATTCCGCTTGGAAACAGAGATTTTAACGTACAACCCCACGCTCAGTCACAAGTATGTCTAGCTGAAATCCTGATCTTCAATGTTATGTCAGTGCTGTCATGTAGGCTACGGAACTCCTTGGACGGTCTTACAAACTAAAGGGGCGTTTTTTGTCCCCACTAGAATTCTGATAAGCCCCGCCCTTGATTTGATATCTGTTTGCTGTTGTTTCTACGGCTACATGAAATGACTTCTGATCTGTCCAATCGTTGAATGCTTCTAACTAGCACTGACCAATCATAGCCAAGAATGACCAGGTTAAGGGCGGGACTTGTCGTTGGGTGGGTGAATGAACGTAACCAAATCATATCTCATGTAACACACGCCTATAACTGAATCGAGCTCCTTTTAAACGTTTTTAAAGGTGAAATGCCTTCTTAATAGCTCACTGAAATATGACTTAGTATTTTGGACCAATTTTTGACTACCTTTCAGAATATAATG